TAATTTGGACAGATAACAATCAGAGGTCACTTGGACCCATCACTGAAGCCAATGAAAGTACCTTATTTACAAACAAAGGACATAAACACCGTAAAATGTTACGGACAAACAAAAAATCTAGGGATAACCACAAAGTTCAGCTTTCACGTATTTTTTTTTAATCGCTGTAACAGGGGGAGGGGGATTGTTAGTAATGCGGAGTACCAGTCCCTCTTATTAAGCTTTAAGGTTGTTTAACCCTAAGGTTGTCTTGAAAAGATTGCTCTCAACAATAAGACCGCTTTACTGTATTTATACATTTGTATCGTTGTGTTTGTAAATTGTTTTGCTTATTTCATATATATATATATATATATATATATATATATATATATATATATATATATATATATATATATATATATATATATATATATATATATATATATATATATATATATATATATATATATATATATTTTAATGAGTGATAATGGAATGGTAACCCTACCCGCGCTATCGGTATACACCGGCGGGGCTCCAGTGAAGGATGATAGATGAGGATGAAGCAGGTCAGTTAGCCCATCGTGACGAATTCAATAAGAATTGTTTACGATGCTTTCCAGGGGGAACCACGTGGAGGTCGACCTAATAGGGCATATTGCTAACAATGGGGCTGGCAAACTCCATTGCTAACAACCCCTTTCCCCCCTATTTCCTATATTGTATAATGCAAATAAAGTATACTTATTCAGTTATACATTTATTTATAATATACTAGCCCATTCTACGTCATGTGGTCCCGGCATAGAATGGGCTACCCCGTCTTTTCCCGCGGGTATCGTAAGAGACGACAGAATAAATACAATATACATATATCGTAACTTAAGTAAGGGCACTTAATGATCGAGGGATGGGCTGCAGCGTGCCTATTAAAACATTGGCAAAAGCCTAACTGCAGTTGTCAATCTATTTGCCAAGCGTGGCAACTACTGGCAAATTAATTAAATAACATAAGTAATAATTATTATGATTTTTAATAAACTCTTTCATATTTTGGATAATTTAAGTTATTTATAAACGATATATATATATATATATATATATATATATATATATATATATATATATATATATATATATATATATATATATAATGCGCGCTTCATTTACATCTGTGTTCCGCCAAACTTAAAGTGGGTATGAACTTCCTTGTTGTTCATCTCGTTCTAGCATACATGTTTATATAATTTGTCTCATTTATATTACCAAATACAGCCATATAAATATAGTAGAGCAAATAGATTTATTCAAGGAATAGGCATATTAGAAAATGTCTTGTTAAAACTTTCCCCGTGACTTGACGTAAAGCTAAATTACACGTAAATATTTGATTAACAGGGTGAGAGATAACTTATAAAGAACTTCGTTAAAATATATTTTTTTTTAGGAATTAAATGTTTGTTTTTTTGCTTTTTCTAATTTTACAAGTGAGTGTGTAGGCATATATATATATTATATATATATATATATATATATATATATATATATATATATATATATATATATATATATATATATATATATATATATATATATATATATATATACGTTATATATTTAAAACATATCCGGAATTTATTATTATTGCAAACACAACTTTATATATATATATATATATATATATATATATATATATATATATATATATATATATATATATATATCCATGGTACTTCTCATGTAGGCGATGGTTAACATTTTCCATCAGGTAGGCCATCAGCTTGTTTGCCATTCTAAGTTGTATAAAAAAAATTAGGGGATCTTCTTTTAGGCATTTGCCTAAGATACGACAAGTATTTTAGATTTACAGGGTACAGAGAAGTAACACCTGAGTCCTCAGGAATGGCAACGCATGGGGGTATCATGGACGAAACAGTATACTCTGTTATGTTCATGGTACTGCTCATATCTATGGGCGACGGTTTCCGCTTTCCGTCAGGTGGGCCGTCAGCTTGTTTGCCATTCTAAGTTGTATAAAAAAAATTAGGGGATCTTCTTTTAGGCATTTGCCTAAGACACGACAAGTATTTTAGATTTACAGGGTACAGAGAAGTAACACCTGAGTCCTCAGGAATGGCAATGCATGGGGGTATCATGGACGAAACAGTATACTCTGTTATGTTCATGGTACTGCTCATGTCTATGGGCGACGGTTTCCGCTTTCCATCAGGTGGGCCGTCAGCTTGTTTGCCATTCTAAGTTGTATAAAAAAAAATAACTGCTTTTTGCATTTTTTTTTGGTGGGTGAAAATGGTATGGTAACCCCGCCCGCGCTAATGGGATACGCTGGCGGAGCACCAGTGAAGGGTGATAGATGAGAATGAAAACAGGCCAGTTAGCCCATCATAATGAATTCATCAGGAATTAACCATGACAGTTTCCAGGGAGAACCGCGAGGAGGTCGACCTGGTTGGATATATTGCTAGCAATGAGATTCTCAGTCTCCATTACTAACAATCCTTTTCCCCTGTGCTTTTTGCATTGTGATATATGTATTTTGTGGTAAATTTATTTGATTTAAACTATGGTGTAGATGTGTTAGAATTATACTCAGATTAGAGAGCACAAGAGGAACTATGTTAGCACTATTTTAATTCCAAATTCTGATAATTTATTCTTTCAGCTTAGTGTATTTTTTTTATTTTTTTTCTGATATGGTTTTTTTGTGTATTATGGCCGTTGGGTACAGTGATATTTTTTATATATGCAATTTTAGAAATTTTATTTATCAAGTTTATATCTGGTTGTAATGTAATGTGTTATTATTATTAAAAACATACATCCCATATATTCTTATAAAATTTACACGTTTATTAGTACATTACTGCAGTGGCCAGCAACTGAGACATTGATGGACGAACGTGCAAATGTGGGCCGAGGCGTAGCCGAGGCACACATACGTGAGTCCATCAATGCCTAGTTGTGGCCAAGGCTTGTATAGTACTTTTCTCAAACAATGCGCGGAAATCAAAAACAGTATTTTACTTTTAAAGCTCAATGACAAATAACGAACAATAATAATTTTTCACGCGCCATAATGTTCCTTTGTTTTTATTTAATAAACAGCCTTCTATTTGTAAGCCAGTTCAAAATTTAAATAAAATCTTTTATTAGTTACCTCCTTGGTAGCCATGTATCGAAGTAAAAGGTCATTCCATTTTTAAATTACAGGACAGATATGAGTTTACATAGTAATTTATCTGGCCGCAAAACACGACAGATATGGATTTTCATACAACTTTTGCCGGCCGCTGCCCGCATGTATCTGGCCAGTACGGCAATTTTGATTTATCTCAAAGAAGATTGTCAAAATAATGCTCACATTTCCAAGCATGTTTGAGAAAAAAAAATATTTGTAGTAGGATTATTAATACAGTAAGTATCAGAATATTGTTAAATTGTTTAATAGAGTTACTTGTTGCCTAACTAAAATCCGTTCACTTAACGTTAACTTAAAGTTAGTTAACAAGTAATAACAAAACAATAGTTTATCTTCAACAACTATTAATTGAAAATTGCATCTGTTTGTAACAAATACGTGACTATTGGCGAATCGAGAGACTTAGAAAACCTTACCAGAATAGTTTGACTTTGAAAAGCTTTTGTGTTTAAGCTAAGCTAAAAGGCATCTGGAAGAGATTGTATTGAAGATAAGATCGATCTTTTAACCGACTTCAAAAAAGAAGGAGGTCTCAATTCGGTTGTTTTGGGGGGAAAGGGATTGTTAGCAATGGAGTTAGCAGCCTCATTGTTAACAATTTGCCCTATTAGGTCGACCTCCACGTAGTTCCCCCTGGAAACCATTGTGAACAATTCTTATTGAATTCGTCACGATGGGCTAACTGACCTGCTTCATCCTCACCTATCATCCTTCACTGGTGCCTCGCCGGTGTATACCGTTAGCGCGGGTGGGGTTACCATTCCATTATCACCCATTAAAAAAAATTCGGTTGTGTTTTGTTTTTATGTATATTATCTCAGACTTCTGACATTTGTAAATCGATTTGGGAAATTCTTTTTTTATTTCAATGGATGTATTTTCAGATTAATTATACTTTTTTTTTTATACAACTTAGAATGGCAAACAAGCTGACGGCCCACCTGATGGAAAGTGGTAACCGTCGCCTATAGACATGAGCAGTACCATGGACATAACAGAGTATACTATTTCGCCCATGATACCCGCCATGCGTTGTCATTCCTGAGGACTCAGGTGTTATTCCTCTGTACCCAGTAAATTCACGCCTTATCCCACCATTCAAACCGAAACACAACCATGCAAACACAACTGCTTCACGGTAGAAACACGAATGGGACAGAGGTACCCAAGCAATCGACTTTTGTACAAAGTCTCCCTCTGGAGACTCCCTAGAGACTACAGTACGGGGGTTTTCAAAAAGGCTATATTAGGGTTTCTTCAGGGTCGGCAACGCGCACATGATACCTCTAGTATTGCAGTCGTTCATAGGCTACAGTAGCTGTTTACCATCAGACGAGCTGTATGCTTGCTTGCCACTTTGAAATATATATACTTAATACACAAAAAGAAAAAAAAAACTTATAAAATAAAATTAAAATACGATATAACTAAATTGAAAAATTCTTCCTTTATTTGAAGTCGGTTGACAAAATAAATCATTAATAAGGACTTCAAAAAAATATCATTTAATTCAATAAATTATAATTACATTTCTATTTTTCCAAAAGTTGTCTAGGTGAGAATACTATATAGTGTTAAGTCTGCCTTTTGTACCTAATCGTTTTTTGTAATGTTGAATACATAAAGAATAAATAAATAAAATAAAAAAAAAAGTATAAATATATTTTTTTATTATATTAAGTACTAAATATATTGGGTAAACGTGACCAAGTATATTGGATACAAAAGGAACATCCTGTGAATATATATTTTTTAATTAACCGTTTTATAAACATGTACCATGGGAACGATGGTTCAGAAACGCTGTGGGTACACGCCGGTGTCCACGGCCGTTTCGATCCCGGCTCGCTCGTACAACTACGTCCAATCAAATATTAAAGGTGAGTCCCATTTTTATACAGATTTTGTGGTTTTTAAACGACCTACTATTCGGTACGGTTTCGTAAGTGAAGATAGAATTTTCAAAAATAACATACAGCTTTAATTTATATAGATGGAGCATCGAGTCTCAAAAACGGGTTAATTTTCTGTCAGCTTCAAATTGTCAAATTAGCTGACTCGTTTTTTTATTAGTATTCTATATACTTACACACACAATTTATCTTGACCTGTCTATATTTGTTTAATAAATAAAATGAGTTTTTACTTATTAAAAAGATGCAAAAATTATAAGACAATATAAACATAGAAGTTATAAAGGAAACGTAACTAATTGTCACGCAAAATTGTAATAAAAGTTGAGTCGCTTTTCTCTTAGCATTTGTATGACTCTATACAAATGCTACCTCTCTTTATATATTACATATATAGATATACAATCTAAGCATATAGCTTATATTCCTCTTATTATATATATCTTCTTATTGGATGATGGGGTCGATTCTATAGCACTTATTCTTTAAATCTATCTTTTAAAATAATATTGTAATTTGATAGAATTGCGAAATTACTGTTTTATAAAACATTATAAACTAAATTTATAATAAGTTTATTTTTTTTATTTAAGAGTTTTCTCTTGTCGGGGGCAACTATTTCATGTATTCTCTTTTAGCCAAGCAATATCTTTGACCTCTCTACACGACATGATACCTAGTGGTTATTTCGATTTAGATCTATTATAAATTAAGTTTTTTTTTTTATACAACTTAGAATGGCAAACAAGCTGACGGCCCACCTAATATATCATTGTACCTCGCCCTAGACATGAGCATACCATGGACATAACAGAGTATACTGTTTCGTCCATGATACCCCCCATGCGTTGCCATTCCTGAGGACTCTTATTCCTCTGTATAAATTATGAAACACAGCCATGCAAACACAACTGCTTCACGGTTAAAACACGAGTGGGACAGAGATACCCAAGCAATCGACTTTTGTACAAAGTCTCCTCTGCTTTATATTGTTTCTCACAATAAAAAGTTCGCTATGATATCAAACATTATGATTGTGTGGGTTATAATTCATTCAGCTAAAGATCGCGTATTATTTGATATTTCACATTCGTATATAATTATAAAAAATTAACTTGTAACCACTTTCCATCAGGTAGGCCGTCAGCTTGTTTGCCATTCTAAGTTGTATATATATATATATATATATATATATATATATATATATATATATATATATATAAAAAATATATATATATATATATATATAAAAATTGTTTACGACATGATGTATCGTCATAGATTATTATCTATATTTTAAACTGGAATAGAAGAAAAGACTATCGAGTACTCGTCACTCAAGTATGAGAATTTAAGTGTTCATATTATTTTTAAACGAATACAATAGTACATATAAAATGACAATTGCTAGTCAAGAACTACATTATTATAACAATTGTGTATAAAACGAGACAACTGTCATAGGTATTTTCAAGGAGTATACAATTGTCGCGTATTATCAATCGTGAGATGAACAGTATCATGGACATAACACAGTATACTGTTTCGCCCATGATACCTTCCATGCGTTGCTATTCCTAAGGACACAGGTGTTAATTCCTCTGTACCCTGTAAATTCACGCCATATCCCACCCTTCAAACCGAAACACAACCGTGCAAACACAACTGTTTCACGGTTGAAACACGAATGGGACGGATTCTTTTTTGGATATATCTACATGATTTTGGATATATCTTTTATACATCGTGAAAATTTATTGTAAATTTTTAAACTTATACGGAATATACTATTATTGTATAGGGTTATATTATGCTATTTTTATAGTACTGCAATGTTTTTTTTATGCAACTTAGAATGGCAAACAAGCTGACAGCTCACCTGATGGAAAATGGTAACCGTCGCCTATAGACATGAGCAGTACCATGGACATAACAGAGTATACTGTTTCGTCCTTGATACCCCCTATGCGTTGCCATTCCTGACGATTCAGCTGTTATTCCTCTGTACCCTGTAAATGCATGCCATATCCCACCCTTCAAACCGAAACATAGCCATGCAAACACACTGCTTCATGGTTGAAACACGAATGGGACAGAGGTATCCAAGCAATCGACTTTTGTACAAAGTCTCCCTCTGGTTTTGCTTTGTATGGTTCCGTAATTTTAAAGTTTAGTTTTCAATTTTAAAATGAATGTTTTGTCTTCTGATGATAATAAAATAATAAGGTTGACTAAAAGTTTGCCAAAATTAAACTGTCATAAAAATTAAATATTTAAAATAAAGTAAAAAAAAAAATATTATGAAAAAAAAAAAAGAAATTAAATTAAATTTCACCATTTCTTATAATGTCATTTGGAGAATTCCTGCGATCCATTACAATACCGCCTGCGACCCGAATTTAGGTCACGACCTGAGGTTAAGAACCGCTGATCTAAGACATCCGTTGCCTTCTATCTGGATTTGATAAAATAATTGTTAGATTAGGTTAATTTAGGCCAAATAACAGTAAACCTAAACCTTAACTATTGATGTTTTTTATTCCGTGTGGTCCCGGCATAGAATAGTCCACCCCTTCCTTTACCGTGGGTGTCGTAAGAGGCGACTAAGGGAGGCCGAGGGATGGGCAGCAGCGTCCCTTTTAAAACATCTCTAAAGCTTAACTGTGGTTGCCAATCCACCGGCGGAGCGTGGCAACTACTGGACCCCTCCCCCCTAGAGGGAGGCTTATGTTCAGCAGTGGACAGTTAAAGGCTGATATGTGCTGAGCTGATAATGATTGATGTTTTATTGTAAGGAGCAATAACACCTTAGTCCTCAGGAATGGCAATGCATGAAGGGTATCATGAGAGTCGCAGTGTGTTCAAGTATAGATTTTTTTTTATATGAAGAAGGTAGCAAGCAAGCATACAGCCCGACTGATGGTAAACGGTTACTGTACTGTACTGTATACGGTTTAGTGAATACACGATACTGTTCATGTTTACAGGCGACGGTGACCACTTTCCACCAGATGAAAATTAAAGTTTTTTGATAGATTGATAGTTTTTTCGTAGTTGGCAACGCGCAAGTGACAGCCATAGTGTTGCAGGCGTCCATGGACTACAGTTGTTATTTACCATCAGATGGGCTGTATGCTTGTTTTTTTTTATACTACTTAGAATGGCAAACAAGCTGACGGCCTACCTAATAGAAAATAGTAACCGTCGCCTATAGACATGAGCAGTACCATGAACATAACAGAGTATACTGTTTCGCCCATGATACCCCCCATGTGTTGCCATTCCTGAGGACTCAGCTGGTATTCCTCTGTGCCCTGTAAATTGTTTGCTACCTTTGTGGTATAAAAAATATTGGCTTTTGCCATTTTTAGAAAAATAAAAAAGTATGTTGACATTTGAATGGTTACAACGAGGTTTTCCCTAGAGACAACAGTATGGGGTTCTAAGGTTTCTTCAGGGTCGCCAAAGCGCACGTGACACCCCTAATGTTACAAGCGTCTATAAGCTACAGTGACTGTTTACCATCAGTTGGGCTGTTAGCTTGTTCACCACCTTTGTGGTGTAAAAAAAGAAGTAATAAATTATTAAATGGATCTAAACTTTAAAAAGTGTCTTGAAATTGGTAGAATTTCAACTGATGTTTTATTATTGTTAATACATTTATTGTATGTAGATGGCGCCTACATATGTTGCTGAGGATAGACTAACGTCAGGGCACCGGCTGTCCCACCCGCCTCCTGGTGAGGAAGTCTGCATCACCGGTATATCTGGGTACTTCCCGGACTCCGATTCAATGATGCACCTGCAGGAGAATCTCTTCAATAAGGTAATATAAACTATTTTCTTTTATACTACTAGGATGGCAAACAAGTATACGGCCAGTCTAATGGTATACGGACTTACCGTAGCCAAAATAATAATCCTTTGGGGAAAAAACCCGAATTCTATTTTGTTATAGCCGTTTGCCCCCGAGATAGAATGGGCTACCCGTATCTTTCCATCGGGTACTGTAAGAGGCGACTAAGGGCATTTAATAGTCGAAAGGTGGGCTGCAGTGTCTCTCTTAAAACAACACCAAAGCCTAACTGCAGTTGCCAACTCGCCTGCCAATCGTGGCAACTACTTGCAAATTAATTAAATAATATTAATAATAATTATTATTAATTTTTAATAAAATATTTCACATTCAGATCAAATTATTTTATTTATGAACAATATATACGTATAATATTACGCACTTTATTTACTCCCGTGTTCCGCCAAAAAAGTGGGTATGGACTTCCTTGTTGTCTATCTATCTTGTTCTATCATACACATTATTATTCGTAGACTTTTCTTTAAAAATAAATTTATTAGACACTTTATTATTATAAACAAATGATATGCATTTTACAAATTTAATCAATAATTTATAATTTATATTTGTAAATCACCGTGTGTTAGTAATCTCTTATGGAATCCCGCGATACAGGTTCGCCTAGTGCGGGCTCCAATGTACTCGCTGTTGTAAATTTCTTGTATTTAATAAATATATAAATGAAATAAATAAATAATTCGCTAGGTGGATTTAATCTCGGATGATAATCGACGCTGGAATATGACTCACCCCGAAATCCCGCAACGTACTGGGAAGATCAACAATGTGAACAAGTTCGACGCCTCCTTCTTCGGGGTCCACTACAAGCAAGCCCACACCATGGATCCCATGTGCAGGATTCTTTTGGAGAAGGCATATGAGGCTGTTATTGATGCTGGTGAGTTTGCATATTCTATATGTTGGTGTATATTTATATCTTCAGGTATATATATATATATATATATATATATATATATATATATATATATATATATATATATATATATATATATATATATATATATATATATATATATATATATAGTGTATTCTAAAGTATATATATATATACACTTTAGTTTATATAGATAGAACATTCAATCTCAAAAATGGGTAAAATTTTTGTCAGCTTATTGTCAAATTGTTCTATATACTTACCCATACAATGTATCTTGACGTATTATTTGATAAATAAAATTACTATTTACGCATTAGAAAGATGCAGAAATTATAAGACATAATAAATATAAAAGTTAAAGGAAATCACTCATAATTATTTGTCACCTACAATTGTATGAAAGAGTTGACCTGCTTTTCTCTCTCTCTCTCTCTCTCTCTCTATCTCTCTATATATATATATATATATATATATATATATATATACATTGTACTTAGATTATATATCTAAGTACAATATTAGTAATAATCACGTGACATTGAAAAGATAATATAATTGTAAATATTTCTTGAATATCACTGTTAGAATTGCTAATCTAATACATGTAAAACTTTCTAAAGAAAATAATAGAAAAAAAAAATATGTAACTCTTGATTTAAATAATGGAATAAAGACAGTGATAACAATGATAAATTGAATAATTTCACGTCGTACATTACATTACGATACTTTTTTCAAAAGTAAAAAAGTATAATGAAATAATACAATCCAATATCACCAATAAGTACCTAAATACGAAAGCATTAGCCATCGCTAAAATGTAGAAGAGAATTCATTTAAAAAAAAATAGCGTCGTTTTGTTTTTACCCATCCGTTTAATAAATGCTATCGACATAATTTCGATCAAATTTCCTCCTATTACACAGTCACCAAATATTTATAAAAGATATAGCTGTTCTTTTGGACGCTCGTGGGTTTGGTTAAATAATATTACATATTACCGTAATTACATAAATTAACAATTAAAATTATGTTCTAAAACAAAAAAAAAAACATTTCAATTGTAGCAAATGCAGTTATTTTGATTTAAAAACTAAAAACTACTGAACTGTTTTTGATAGATAACATTTCTATGTAATTAATTAATTTGTAAGTATATCCTTTTAGATAAAAAAGAATTTTCCAAATCGGTTTATAACTGATGGAGTTATGAGGTAACAAACTTAAACAACAATGCAACTGAATTGAGAACGTTCTTCTTTTTGAAATCGGTTGAAAATATTATGTATTTCATCTTGTTTACTCAATAATAACATAACAGTCTTTGTGTCCCTTATTCATTTGAATTCAGAATGTCTCCTAATAAATTAAATAAGTTTAACTTTTTTGTTTCGCAGATATTGTAAGTGTAGCTTTTTTAAGTATAGATTTTATTTCACCAGTAAGCAATTTTTTTATCCGTAAAAATAAAGGCAGCATAAATTGCTGCAAAATTAAAAAAGAAATTAAACCACAAAGATTGCAAAAATAATAGTGAAAATCGGTTTAGAATTGGCAACACAGATATGTTGCTAATCACACGTTAGAACCTTAATAGTCGTGTACAGTGCAGTTTCAAAGGAGTTTACGTCTGTGCATGCTCAGGCTGTATAATGGCTCATACCCCAGTCTTTTTCACTCAGTCAGAATCACATTGATGTGATTGTTTGATACATATTACTCCTCTCTATCCAAAGGTTGCCTGGAATAGATCGCTTTTAGCGATAAGGTCGCCCATTGTTTTCTCATTGTGATTATTTCTTGTAATTGTTTATATTTATAATAAGTTTAATATTGTAATCTTTTGGAGGAAACAATAAAAAGTATCTATCTATATCTTATTATTTTACATTGTATAGTTTTTAATTGAATGGTAATCTATCGATATGCGCTGACGGAGCACAAGTGAGAGATAATAGGAGATGATAAAAGCAGGTCCGTTAGCCCATCGTAACAAATTTCACAAATAATTATCACAGTTATTTCCAGAACTGTGTGAAGATCGATCGAGGGTATATTGTTAACTCATTGCTAGCAATATACCCTATCAGGTCGACTGTCAGGCTGTTAGTTGACAATTACTGACAATTCATTTCTTCCCTACATAGCACAGTAGCATTACAGTTCGGTGTAATTAATACTCAGCGTAGAACAGAATTTAGAGCAACGCCACTCACTTTCTTTGTACGTAATGAGGCAATTTGTCCGATCAAAAAATCTGGGGCTTTTGGTCAAATTAAATTTGTTACACTCATTTGGCACCTTCTATTACCGCGACATTACTTTTAAGGTTATAAAAGGAGCGGATTGCTCCTTTAAAGGTTTGGGGATTCTAAAAATATATTATTGAATTTCCAGATATATATATATAATAACTAATATATATATATATATATATATTAGTTATTACAATAAATTACAATAGTATTGTCACGTCACCTGGCGTTGAGCTTCATACAGCTAAACTTGAAATTGAATAGAGCATTTAAACTGGAACAATATCTATAGAGACATTACTTACATGCTTCGAGAATAGTGACAATGTTTCTGCTTCGTAGAATATTCAGAACGTTAATATTATTCGATGTACACTATTCTACTAATTACTAATGATGGTATGTGTAGTAAAACATATTTATTTATGTAAAGTTTTATTAAAATAGTTTTATTAATATAATCCCATTATTTTTTTTATACAACTTAGAATGGCAATCAAGCTGACGGCTCACCTGATGGAAAGTGGTAACCGTCGCCTATAGACATGAGCAGTACCATGGACATAACAGAGTTATATTGTTTCACCCATGATACCCCCCATGCGTTGCCATTCCTGAGGACTCAGGTGTTATTCCTCTGTACCCAGTAAATTCACGCCATATCCCACTCTTCAAACTGAAACACAGCCATGCAAACCCAACTGCTTCACGGTTGAAACACGAATGGGACAGAGGTACCCAAGCAATCGACTTTTGTACCAAGTCTCCTTCTGGTCCTCCTCTAATCCCATTATTCATAAAAACATTAAACCACTCATAAAACTATTTTAATTATTAGGTTGTTTTGTCTTTTATTTGTTTTATTTATTCATTCATTATTAAATGTATGTTTACAAGGCGGACTTAATGCTAAAAATATTCTCTCTTAGTCAACCTTAAGGAACTGTCAGAATACATGAATGCGGTATTAGTAATAATTGATATACATACATATTAAATTTGACATATATAAACAAATAAATATATATAAATAACAAATATCTGTATACATATATAGGATATATGAATGAATGATTGAGTATACTTTATTTGCATTATACAATATAGGAAATAAACAAGACAATTAATAAATATAATGATACAATTGTATAAGTACAGTAAGGAGGTCTTATTGCTGAGAGCAATAAATATTATACACAAAGATAAGATTAATAGATGGTACTTACTGCACGGATAAATCATAAAAGTGAATATAAACGTTTTACAGTTTTACGTTTTTTAAAGATGGTTTAGTCGGGAGTCTCTTGATGGAATTAGGGAGTTCCAGAGCCGTGAAGAGTTTAAAATAAACTCTAAGTTTAGTTAAAGATGGACTGTTTCTTTTATGTTTAAATCTCAGTCTGAATAAAAGTGACAAATAACATTAATAATATAAAATTCGTCACTACACAAAGGTCGATGAAAGGTCGACGGTGCGACCGCCCACCAAGGAGTCGACCTTTCATTTTAAGGTAAACTTTATTCATGCACATACTATTTATTGTTGGCAAAAAAATCTTTTGTGGCTCTTTAGAGACTTTGAAATTTTGTAAATTATAATTTTTGACTCTTCCGACTCAAAAGGTTGCCGACACCTAGTCTAGTTGGTTAGTTTTCCTAAAACAAAATATATGATATAAATTCAAAATCAAAACGCTACGAAGTTCGGAATAAAAGTCAAAAGATTACAACATCAATAAACTCTGAATACGAAATGAACAAAATTTAAATACGGGTAGCGTCCAAAACGGTCGCAATGACAATATTGAGTTATAATTACTCCGACAGAGGAAAGTTTTAATGGATTTCCAGATAAGGGACTCTTCGCACGCAGTCTATGCGAGTATAGATTCGTTTTAAACAGATTTGATCATGTTAGAAATTATTTGATTAAGCCGATTAACAATCGTACCTTAAAAATATTTAAGGATTACACATTTACAAAGCTACCCTATATCATTGTTTACACAAAGTTTATAAAATTGTGTAAAATTTATTTTTAATTTATTATATATTATTTAAGAAATTGTAATCAATTTTGGCGTTATCTTTGATGAATTATTGTACACAACAGTGTTTCTGGGTTTTGAAAGTCAGCGAATTCAATTAATTGGGTGTTCATCGGATTTCGATGCAAACTCTAATATAAGATTCTATATCTCATACATAGTTATTTATTTTACAGCTAGATTTTAAACAAACTATGTTTCAATTAAACAATAGGACGGTCAATCGGTTTTTGGAGCTTTTGATGAAACGAACCGAAAAGTTTTCGATACGTCATTCGGTCTTTCATCATTAAGGCCTAAAGTAGGGACCCTGTTTCATTACATAACATTTTTATTTACAATTGTTACCAGGTGTAAATCCGAAAGAACTGAAAAATACCAAAACTGGTGTGTTTGTTGGTGCTTGCTTCTCTGAATCGGAAAAGACATGGTTCTACGAGAAGATGCAGGTGAATGGCTTCGGTATAACTGGGTAAGTTTCTCCTATCTATCTATCAATTGATCACGAATTGTTTGTGTTCAGTGATATAAAATCTAATATTATTTCCATTATTGTTAAATTATATAAATATTATTCCATTTAATTGTTTTTAATATATGAATTATTGGAAAGTACTCTTCCTATACCATGCTATAACAGAGTCTTGGATACCCCCCATGTTATTATATCATTATATGTTAGATTGTAAACTGATGCTTTCCTACAGTGTATTGAGAGATGAAAGATGAAATAAATAAATAATTCATAAAGAACGGAATTAGACACGACACACTGTTTCGTTTAATAATTTTTCATTTACAAACATAGTTTACTCCATACTAAAAGATTCAAAAGTAATTTGATTTATAAATTTTTTTTTAATTATTTAATAATACATACACACAGAAACATGACTATGGAAAAAATGTACGAAAGGAATGAGCAGGTTGTTTTTTATCGAAAATTTTAATTTTTTTGTTTCAGTTCTTAATAATATTATTTTTTTTTCTAGGAAAAAGAAATCTTTTTTAACTCTCTACCATTCTACTAACTACTACTATAATTACTACCCATTCCTTAATAACAACATTATTGTCAGGAATGGGTTATTTTAATTAATACTGCATAAATATGATAAGGGATATATATTGCCTGCAGGTGTTCCCGTGCTATGTTAGCCAACCGTATCTCCTATTGGCTTGGAGTGACCGGTCCTTCCTACACTGTAGACTCAGCTTGCTCCAGCTCCTTATATGCCCTGGAACACGCCTTCAGAGCCATCCGTGACGGTCACTGCGAAGCTGCTTTGGTTGGCGGCTCCAACCTATGTCTCCACCCCTTCGTATCGCTACAGTTTTCTAGGTATGTAAATGTTTGTTGAACATTATATAAAATACGGTAATTGTTATATATATATAAAAAAAATAACAAAATATAGAAAAAGCTTTGTAGATGAAGCAAACTATAAACTTTTACAGATAAATATTAATTCATAAATTAAGGATCTAGTTTGTATACGAGGTTTGTCCGGAAATTTTATCCCCTTCAAAGTACTCCCCCTGTGACATAATGCACTTGTGCCAACGCCGTTTCCACTGTGAGAAGGCTCCTCTGGTTGTAGGTTTCTCAGCTGCCCCGTCGTAGCTTTTTTTATCTCATTTATGTCCCCCAAATGCCGCCCCCGAAGTACCAATTTGGTTTTTGGGAACAAGAAGAAGTCACACGGGGCCAAATCCGGCGAATAGGGGGGGTTTCGGTCATTGGAATTTTATAAAAAAACAACAAGAGAGGTGTGGGCAGGGGCATTGTCGTGGTGAAGAATCCAACGCCCCTCTCGCGCCAACGAACTCGTATAAAACGTAGAATTTTCCATCAACTGTCTGGCCTGGAGGGACGAATTCGTCGGAATGTGAAGTGGAAGGACGTCCTGAACGTGGGTCATAACGCTTTCTCGGCCCTCTCTGAATCTTTTTAGCCACTTGTGGACGGTACAGCATCATCCCCATATTCAGATCGGCAAAAATTTCACGGCCATTCTTGCCGAGTTTCGAGAGAAACTATATATAACGGAAGCGGGCTCCATGCCGACGGGGTTTCGTTAAGAGGTAACTTCACAGATGGCGTGACAAGCCAGTTCGCACCGCACGGCGGTCAGACCAGAACTGAAGCATTGTTAGGGACATAAGGAAGGGGTCCTGCGCTTACCTGGCCTCCCCACTCCTCTTTCTCGCAAGAACACTTTTATACGAACTTTCCGGAAGAATATAAGGAAAAAAAAACTAAACTACTATTAGTTTGCATATAGGTATAAAGAAAAAAAAAAAAAAAAAAGATAGCTCAAAACATAGATTAAGTCATCAAAATTACTTATTTTGAATCATACAAAACATAAATTAACTAATCAAGTAGATTGACAAAACAGAGAAGTTGTTAGTACCGTTTGTTTTTATTATACTACAAGCATATTTTATAAAAGAAGTGCTCCAAGATATAAAAAAAAGTAAAAACTTATTAATTTTGCGAAAGGAATATCACTAATATTTTGCTAAGCGTTGCATAAAATACACCATTTGTTGCAGATTGGGCGTGTTGTCCCCTGACGGTCGATGCAAGAGTTTCGACAAAAACGCCAATGGTTATGCCCGTTCTGAATCGATTGCTGTTTGCTTCTTGCAGAAAGCCAAGGATTCTAGAAGGTATAGTTTTATATTTTAATAAACTTTAATATATTCACTTCGTAAAATTGTCGAAAATCTGTAATCGAAGTCTTCACCGAAGAAGTGTTCCACCAGAGAAAAATTTTAATTTTTTCCAAAAAAAAAAACATGAGTTAAAAGACGTTTAAAAATTTGTAGAACGTTCAAAAACTTCTCTATTAGTACAACACCAGCTGTTATGTCAGTAAGAGAGAAATTTTGTTATTTTTCATTGACTGTTCTCATTTAAAAATATCAGTTTCATTTTAAGAACAAGGCGTAATCTTTGGTTTAACTGGTAGAACTTAGGGTAGAACACTTCTTTAAAAGAATATTAATGTCAGGTGTCATTTGATCTTTCACCAAAGAAATATGTTGTGGGTATATTAATATAAAATTGTATATATATTAGGTGATGGTAGTTTAATAAATGACTTGTCATACAATCGTCAAAGATAGCAAAGATGGGAACTTAAATTTACTTTGTCAAATTTAAAATTTTTATATTCACGAAATTCTGTAACGGATCATACAGATTCCTAATTTTACGTATAGCTATAACTTTGATTTCATCCTCTATATATCTTCTGCAGAGTGTACGCTCAAGTGCTACACGCTAAAACGAACTGCGATGGATACAAAGAACAAGGCATCACATACCCAGCCGGTAACATCCAGAAGTTACTTCTGAGAGAGTTCTATGAAGAATGTTCCATTTCTCCGTCAAGTTTGGAGTTCGTCGAAGCCCATGGTACAGGTATGTATTTTAAATTCATCACGCTTTAGGCTTGGTCTTTCCTCAGGATACTTGAAGGGTAAGTTAATATATATATATCAACCAGAGGAAGACTTTACAAAAGTCGTTTGCTTGGGCACCTCTGTTCCATTCGTGTTTCTACCATGAAGCAGTTTGTTTGTATGTTTTTCGGTAGAAGGGTGGGCAGTAAATTTACAGGGTATAATATATACAATTATTTTACACTCAATGACGAGACGAGTTGGTATGGTAGGACAAAAACAAGAAAAAAAAAACAAGAAAAGGTCACAAGAAAAGGTCACAAGAAAATTATTCTCATCTAGAACCTAATTTCCTAATGTTATCTTTCCAACGCAAGTTAATAAAGAATGACGAATAAAATAAACAATAATTTTAATAAGCAGTTTCTTTTTGATCTCAAAAACATTCTTGTTTTGTTAAACTGAATAAAGAAACAATCTCAATTAATAATACATCAGAAAGATATTATCTTTAGAAGTTACTTAATCTACGAAATATCGTATATTAAAAAATATATTGTATTATAAACTAAGCGTATCTTATGGCTTTGGCTGAATTAATTAATATAAAAGATCATATTAAAATATGCCAATAAATCTAATGTCTAAATCCGATGACTTTATCATTAGATTCTTGTCAGTTTAGAGTTTATTATCATAAACTCTTTACAAAGCATAATGCTTTGTAAAGAGTTTATGATAATAAAACAAATGAGTCCAAAATCTTTTTTGTTCTTTTTTATCATTTTAGGTAGTAATTTTGTCTGAAAAGAACTGCTAAAAAACTTGAAAAATTTAACGAGTTGACGGTCTTTATTTTAGCCGTTAACGGTCCACTACTGGAAACAGGCCGTCCACATAAGGGTAGTTTTGCCAGTAGTTGCCACGTTTGGCAGGCGGTTTAGCAACCGCAGTTAGGCTTTTAGAGATGTTTTAAAAGGGGCTTGTACTAAGTCTCCCTCTGGTGAAAATTCTTATATGATTTAACTCTACTAAAATCGGGCACTTCATACAAAAACGCCGCGCTCTGTTTTTCACAACTACAGAAAAAATTTACATCTGTACATGTGACAATATGTGTGTCTATTACGATTAGCGCTGGGGGAAAAATTGTAATGCTGACGTGTATTTGAGAGGGGTTGGTTCAGTACCTACTATTAATATTGTGCTAAAACCTCAATTTTGAATGTAAATTAAAATAAAGCTTACTAATTTCATAGTGTCTAAAGTTCGCTTAAATATTTGTGCATTTTCAATAAAAACTCCAACTTTATTGTGTCAGAACAACGCTCAACATTTCGCAAACCACTGGCAATTAGTTCAGTTTGCTCTGTGGCTCGTTCCCTTCCGCGTTTATGCTCTGCTCTATGCAAAATTAAATGAGCGCCAAGATAACAATTGCACGAGTATTTTTCACTTTGTTGTACACTACCATTACCTTTGCAGGTAGAATCACTATCATTTGGGTGGCGTGAAATAGTTTCTGCTAGTTGCTTGCTGCAGGTTTATTAAATTTTTGTTTTCATTTCTGAAACATTGTATAATTTATATTGCTTAGTTTCTCATAACATAGGGTATCATTATTAGAAGATAAAGCGATTGGAGTAATTAAGTGGCATTTATTATTATTCTTATTATATAAATGTAAAAAATAGGATCAGTAGCTGTTGTCCAACTCGATGTGTACGAAGCATTGTGTTTTGACCATAAAACCTAAACTAAAAAATTCTTCGATAATATCTCTTGCGTTTGGTCGAGGTCCCTTTAGATAGAGTCAATGACAATTTAGTCGGACAATATTTGATTGCGATTCAGTGATCTCCAGAACGAATCTCAGCTTTTTAATTTCACATTCACATTGCTTAATAAATTCTTTCACTTAAAATTAACTACGACTTGCATCAGATTTTGAAGGTTTGGAGGTTATAATCGTCGTTCCGTATACTACGATAGAGATCTTCGTGAGCAGCAAAAGCAGTCTAGAAAGTCTATACCTTCTCAGGAGTAGTAGTAGTATCGATATAAAAGGACTGGTTCGCTCAAAGAAGTGTTGAATGTAAAAAGTCCAACTGTGCGAATCCTAATTTTGCTACTAAATCATTGAAAGCACTTTATGAACATTCTAAAAGCATTCTTTCGTTACGATTACATTCGGGATTAATTCTGTACGTTTAAAAGAAAATTCATCTTTTAGCCCAAACATACTGGGTTTTATAATTTAAAATTTTTCTTCTTTTTCTAGTTCATTTAGATTAATTTTACAAATTCGCTGCTACAGGCAAGCTAATCAGCATTCTTTTATCTTTGTCGCATATGTACTCTCTGTATAGATGTGGCATATTTTTATTTATTTTATATACAACTTTAATATTAGGTCTGGATGTGTATCGGAATTTATCGTTAGTAACTTATTAAATATTTAGTAAAAATTTAATTTTATTCGTCTTAAAATATGTTTTATATAAATCCAGCTAATGTATCAAACCCTTAATAAATCTTCTTTCTCCAGGAACTCGTGTCGGTGATCCAGAAGAGTTGGTAGCAATCGACGAGATCTTCTGTACCGGCCGTTCGGAACCACTCATGATCGGCTCCGTCAAGTCCAATTTAGGTCACACTGAACCCGCCTCTGGACTTTGCTCGATTGCAAAGGTATTTTTTTTTCAATTAAGTCCATTAGGATTATTATGAATAGGAAATTAAAAATTTTCAATATCAAAATTGATACAAACATTCAATCTGTTTTTTATCTCTTTAGGAGAAGAATATTTGAAAATGTCGATCTTATTTCTTTGTTTATTATTTTCAGTAGTTTTGTCCGTCAGTTAGGAGTTCCCAAATCTAAACTGAATAGATACATAGTATAATTAGTTGTTGTTTGCGGAGAATGCAACATTCATTAGACTTGAATTTGCTGAGTATATTATAATGAGGCAAATGGCAAATGTAAAGCAGTCTCTACATAATGAAATTAATTTATTTTCATGGAAAACTATTACTTTAATGCTTGAAAAATAATTTTATACATTTTGTTTCTAGATGTGCATTGCATATAACACAGGATTAATCCCACCAAATCTAAATTATAAATCACCTCGGGAGGGTGTCGCCGCATTGGCTGAAGGTCGTCTTCAGGTTATCACAGAGAAACAACCATGGAACAAGGGCATGTCGGGTATTAGCAGTTTTGGTTTTGGTGGAGCAAACGCTCATATACTCTTACAGAATATGGCTCGTGAAAAGGTAAGTTAATTGCATTTATCTATCGATCCAGTCATCCAACCACTCGTATAATCTTTTGTATTTATAATATCAATTCTATTAATCTAGACCCAGGTCTGGATGTTCTGGATTTTACTCCCAGATGTTCACTGATCACACAGGGTATCCTAGTAAAGAACCAGGTGTTTGGTGTGATTATGTAGCGTGTATTATAAATTTATTTTTTCTCAAAATTAATTTCCTATTTATTACCAATTAGATCAACAACAGTCTCCCAGCCGATGACTTGCCCCGCTTAGTCTGTGCTTCTGGTCGGACTGAGTCGGCTGTAGCCAAGATATTAGACGAGCTCGAGTCGAAGCCGGTGGATGTGGAGCAAGTTAGACTCTTACATGCTATCCACGACGAAGATATCGTTGGTCATGTTGTGAGAGGATTCACCTTATTAGGTAAGCATATTTGACATGTTATTGATGGTGCTGATATTTTTGGATGCAAATTAAATGGTAACCCTGAATATAATAGAATACTCTTCGTACTTTGCTATTTTTAAGAGCTAAAATGAGCTTTCATATTCTGTAATTTCATTACAATATCTCACCGTTAAAACCAAAACAGATGCAATTTTTTTTTTAATTGATGATAATGGAATGATAACCCCGTCTGCACTAACGGTATACGCTGGCGAGGCACCAAAAAGGGATGATAGATGAGAATGTAAAGGCAGGTCAGTTAGCTCATCGTGATGAATACATCTGAAATTCAGCACGATGGTTTCTAGGGGGAATCACGTGGAGGTTAACCTGACAGGGTATATTGTTAACAATGTGACTGGCAGTCCGCATTGCCAACAATCCCTTCCACCCCTCAAATACGACATTGAACCTTAAAAAAAAATATTGCTTCTTAAAAGGCCAGCAACAAACTTACAATTTCTTGGATGTTGCGAGCTGCATGATCGGTTGTCATAAAAACGATGAACTCTTCAAGTTAATGGTGAAGAAGTATTTTTTGGATGAAGTGCACTTCATCCTAGATCTTACCATCATTTAACATCAGGTGAAGTAAGATTAAGGGTAAACCCATCTACGAGTAGTAATAAAAAAAGCGAGCACAACTGCTTAGCCGCAGAAACAGGTAGATCTAATAGCTCCATTACTAGAAATATACCCTATCAGGTTGACCTCCACGTGGTTTCCTCTGGAAACTATCTTGGTTAACTCTTGTGAAATTCATCAGGATGGGCTAACTGACCAGTTTCATTTTCGCCTATCATCTCTCACTGGTGCTCCTCCAGCGTAAACCGATAGCGCAGGCGGGGTTACCATTCCATTATCACCCATTAACAAAATAGGTAGACACGTAGATGCAGAGGTACTTATGCCGCCGACTTTTTTACATATTTTTTCCCTGATTACTACAGATATTTTCGTGATGCTAATATGTTTTCCCCACAAACGATAAATTGATAGGTACTCTTTATTTTTCCTTCTATAGAATTAACAAATTACCTTTTTTTTTAATTCTTTTAATAGAATCACAAGAATAAATACATACTGTTTTATTGTATTAATAGAATTAGAATAAATTAAACACACAATTAAAATGTGTTTTCACCAAAAACGTGACTCAACACGTGTTTATTATGTGCATAATACGAAACCAAAATTACATATGCTAATTATTTTAATTTCCGATAAACTTTATCATTAAGAAATCTAATTAATTCGAAACGCGGCGGTAGGTAGCCCTTCGTCATAATTGAAATGCAAATAGAGTTAAAAAATGTATGGACAAGTACAATGGTACGTATTGTAGTGAATGGTAGTCGATATATGTAACTTTGCTTATTTATTTTTACTCAGCTCTTTACAAGAAAGAATATATTTTTTTATGCAACTCAGAATGACAAACAAACTGACGGCCCACCTGATAGAAAGTAGTAACTGTCGCCTATAGACATGAGAAATACCATGGACACAACAGGGTATACTGTTTCGCCCATGATACCCCCCATGCGTTGCGTTTATTTTTATCATTTTAATAATATAAATATTAAAATCAAAATCGTAGTTGTAATGTTTAATTTGTGAAATAAACGTTTTTTTCTAAAAGAATATACTACGAAAAATTATAAAAGATGTTAAGCCTCTTATAATGATTTTTTTATACCACTGAAGTGGCAAACAAGTATACGGCCCACCTGATGGTTGACCGTATTACAGTTACACACATATTTGTCAAGTTGGTGTAAAGGTATAAATATATAATTTTTTTTATTTAATTTAATTCTTTTTATTTTTTTACACATATTTTAAAGTTATTTTCGGAACACAATGCGTTTATAAGTAAATTACGAGTACATACATACATATCAACATACCTGAATTTTAATATTAAAGTAAATTGAATTTCCATAATTGTGCGGTAAATAGTAGGCATGGGTACCTCTCCGATATCTACGAGTATGTATTGGGCTCCTCTGGACATTGATGATGAGAAAAATGTAATTATTTATTTCAATATTTTCCACATCAGTTGGATATGTGCGTTCATTTCCATCAGGTTCTTCATTTCAACATTATATATATATTTTTTAATGGGTGATAATGGTATGGTAACCCCGCTTGCGCTAACAGGATACGTGACGGAACCAAAAATGAGAATCAAAACAGGTTATCATGATGAATTCATCAGGAATTAACCATGATAGTTTCCAGGGGGAACCGTGGGGAGGTCGACCTGGTTGGGTATATTGCTAACAATGGGATTCTCAGTTTCCATTACTAACAATCCCTTTCCCCCCAAACGTTATATATTTGATAAGTAAAGGCCAATGTTTACGTTTGAAAGACAGCTGTTTTACTTTCCATCTGTATGAGAAATTTGAAAGAATTCGATGGATTGATCTAGAACTCTCTTCTAGGCTCTACACCTTCCAAGACCGAGCCGCTGGTCCGCGACGTGCAGTACTTCTCTGGGATCCGCCGTCCCATATGGTTCGTGTACTCCGGCATGGGCTCTCAGTGGGCAGGCATGGCCGCCCAGCTCATGAGGATTCCTGTCTTCGCTGCAGCTATACACAAGTATGACTATTTTGTCGATATTAGATATAGCTTGTTTTAATACTGAATGAAAAGGTAATCAATCATTCGATCAATGTTTGATTTGAACATATTTTGCTCGGGTCAGATATTTATTTGTTTACATTTTTATTGAATTCTATGGAACAGACTATAGCTTTAAAGCGATCGCTAATGTGAAATAGGACAATAAGCAATCTATATCTGAATAGGTGAGTTGGAACTCGTTTAATTCGCAGACAATTTTTTTTTATCGTCTTCTCTGTTTAGGTATTTAATTGGTTACATATTTATTTGCCATGTAGTCCCGGTATAGAATGGGCCACTCTTTCCGTTACCGTGGATGTCGTAAGAGACGATTAAGGGAACTTACTGGTTGAAAGCAGCGTCCCTCTCAAAACGTCATTAAAAGCTAACTGCGGCTGCTAACTCGTATGCCAAGCGTGACATTTACTGGCAAATTCCTCCTCATGGGAGAGGCCTATATAATGTATGACAATGTATGTCCACTGCTGTATTAAAGTTTTTGTCTCACAAAAAAGACGTACTTCAATTATTACAAAATCAGTTATTTTGGTCTAAAAATTAAACTATTGAATCGATTTTGGTAAAATTTGTATGGAACTAATCTGTAAGTATATTCTCTCGGATAAAAAAAAAGATTTTTCCAAATCAGTTTAGAACTGAAGGAGTTATGAGGTAACAAACATAAAAAAATACATCCGACTTGAGAACTTCCTTCTTTTTGACGTCGGTTTTTTTTATACAACTTAGAATGACAAACAAGCTGACGGCCCACCTGATGGAAAGTTGTAACCGTCGCCTATAGACATGAGCAGTACCATGGACATAACAGAGTATACTGTTTCACCCATGATACCCCCCATGCGTTGCCATTCCTGAGCACTCAGGTGTTATTCGTCTGTACCCTGTAAATTCACGCCATTCTAAATCATTAAATTGCATGTTGCAATGATTGTGTTGTGCAAGTTTGTGCTTCTGGTAAAGTGCAAGTATGGTTTATCTTTACATAAAGGGCGTTATAGACAAATAAATAAATTACTTTTATAATATGGGTTTATAATTATGGTTGCCCTAACTGGACATATGCCAATAAGGCATATACTACACAAGATGGGCCTATCTTCGGACACACTGTGCAGACTGTGCGGGGAGAAATCGGAATCCATGGAACACTTGATGTGCAACTGCGATTCGTTGGCAAGTATGTGTATGAGTCTACTGGGAACGGCTTATCCAGAACCAGGGGACTACAGATATCTTAAACCGCGGGATATCGTTAGGGTAACACATAGGATCTATGAAATGATGGTATAAGGCAGGGGAAAGCACAAAAGATTTGTATGGGTCGACGTGCATCGGCTTAGCTGACCCCATATGCGAAAAATAAGATAATTTTTATAAAGTTATTGATTTCCTTTTTTTATTTTAATTCTTACGTTTCTTCTAATACAGGTGTCATAAAGCGTTAGAACCCAAAGGCGTCAACTTAACGAAAATAATCACAGAGCCCAACCCAAAAATCTACGATAACATCCTAAACTCGTTCATTGGCATCGCGGCAGTTCAGATCGGCCTCACTGATGTATTGAGGACTGTGGGCATCGAGCCTGATTATATCATTGGTAAGTTTTCTTGGAATGACAAACTAACTGACAGTTGAACTGACTGAAAGCAACCATCAGTAAACTTTTTCAATAGAAGTTAGTAAAAAGATAACAAAGTTTTGATGAAATTGTTAATACAGAAACTCTCGTGATGAAATTAGTAAGAAATCAAAACGTTCAATCAAATTATCGATATTTGATTTGTATTAGATACTATTGGACATCAGTATACTGTATTATTTGCAGTGTGGTCCCGGTATAGAATAGGCCACCCCTTCATTTCTTGTGCGTGTCATAAGAGGCGGCTAAAGGAGAGGGATGGGCAACAGCGTCCCTTTTAAAACATCTCCAAAACCTAACTGCGGTTATCAATTCGCCTGCCAAGTATGGCAACTACTGGTAAATCCATCCAAGGGGAGACTGTGTTCAGCAGTGGACACATAATTGCTGACATGATGAAGATGATGATATATGGTGCATAATTATTAGTAATAAATTATATTTATTACATTTTCATTAAGGTCTGTTGTGAAATACTGTAACTACATTATTTTACATTGTATTTGGTTGGTCGGTTCAGATCTCTTTCAGAGATAAGCCCACCCTTGCTCACAATATTTATAACTGCCTTATCTTTGTAATTTACAAGTACGATAAAGTGGTAATTTGCTATTCCTGAGGACTAAAGTTGCTTCTGTACCAAGTATTGATTCAATTATTGGATAACCCCGTATACCAACAGATGGGCCATACGCTTATTTGCCGTATAAAAAGTCAAAATTAGTGGTATTTATTGTATAACATTGCCGGCATAAAATGCTAAGTGTCATAAAAGGTGAATTAGGGAACTTAAATTTCGAGGGATGGGTAACAGTGTCCCTCTCAAAACATCACCAAAGTCTAACTGCAGTTGTCTACCTGATAGTCAAGCTTGGCAGTTACAGGCAAAATCTTCCAATAGGAGGAGACCTATATATTCAGCAGTAGCCTGTAAATGGCCGATATGATGATTGAGTCATTACCTAATGACACTTTGATATCCGAAATCCAGTCATTCTAGCATAGCTGTTTGTAGATGTGGGGTGGACAGACGCTGCTGCCCATCCCTCGACCTCCTTTAATCGTCTCTTAGGACTTTCATGGGAAAAGAAGGTGTGGCCTATTCTATGCCGGGACCGCACGGGACATATAGGAATCAACACATACGAAATTTTATATATTAATTCATGCTGTCGCGGGATCCAGATAGTAAAGAATAAATGTTACTTCTGTATCATAGGTCACAGTGTAGGCGAGTTGGGGTGCGCGTACGCAGACGGTTGCTTCACTGCCGAGCAGATGATCTTGGCTGCCTACAGTCGAGGACTGGCCTCTATCGAGACTAAGTTCATCAGGGGATCCATGGCTGCTATAGGGCTTGGTTATAACCAGGTAAGCATCAAATGTAAGTTTCATTTAATACTACGAAGGTGGCAAACAAGCATACAACCCGTCTGATGGTAAACGGTCACTGTAGCCTATGGACGCCTGCAACACTAGGGGTATCACGTGCGCATTGCTAACCCTGAAGAAACTTTAATATATATATTTTTTTATTTTTGTTTCATGGTTAGGCTTTTACGGGGGACTTTTGTTTCACATTGTTAAGGGTCATCTCGTCAAGGGTTGTAGTGTTTAAAGTGTCTACATAAAACCAATGTTTAATAGATTAAATCCATGTGCCCGCCCGAGATAGAGGTGGCTTGCCGCAATGGCCCCGACTCCAGTACCATATCGGGCCCAGCTGATATCATGAAGAGCTTCGTCGCCAAGTTGACCAGCGAAGGAATATTCGCCAAGGAGGTGCCATGCTCCAATATCGCGTACCATTCGCGGTATATTGCTGATGCTGGTGAGATATCTATATTTTTTTATTTTTTTTTAACAAAAGAAGCATGGTAAGTGATTTTTTTTATACAACTTAGAATGGCAAACAAGCTGACGACCCACCTGATGGAAAGTGGTAACCGTCGCCTATAGACATGAGCAGTACTATGGACATAATAGACACACACTGTTTCGCCCATGATACCCCTCATGCGTTGCCATTCTTGAGGACTCAGGTGTTATTCCTCTGTAAATTCACGTCATATCCCACTCTTCAAACCGAAACAAAGCCATGCAAACACAACTGCTTCACGGTAGAAACACGAATGGGACAGAGGTACACAAGCAATCGACTTTTGTACAAAATCTGATTAAATTTGCCCTTAGGCATCTACAATATCAGAGAAATTGCGGGTGTGTTGTTGGTCTTTAGAAAGAAATGCTCTTTTCATGAAGGTTTCAATGTCGTGTCTGTTTGGAAATACTGCTGCTGGGAGTTGGTCCTCTGCTGTATAATATCTATAGTGTTATTTTTATATATTATTTTTTTATATTACATCTGGATTCTATAGCTTATTCCTAAAATATTTCAAAAAATATATTATATTTACAATACACCTTAATTTAGCCAATTATAGATTCCCAATTTGTATACCAAATAATATATAAAGAGGGATAATTTGATTTTTTGATTGTAATGGATTAACTCAAAGACATACTTAACTAATTTTGAAAATTATTTCACTCAAGAATATATATATATATATATATAAAGATAAGGTCTCTTCTAGATATTTATAGTTTATGGTTATATCAAAATTTAACTATTTTGAAAATTCTTTCACCCGTGCGATATATATATATATATATATATATATATATATATATATATATATATATATAACGAATATATATATATATATATATATATATAAACATCTGGCATCATCATATCAGTCGTTAACTATTAACTGCCTTAATCTTACTAAATTATAAAGAAACAGTAATGTCAGATGGGAGCAAAACGTATCCATTCTAAAAAGAATCATCGAAACCGGTTCAAAATCAATATTAAATTGTTCAGACGAATTCGGAATTGACTCATTTTGGAAGACAAATCTCATACATACAAGTTGTAAACATGCACAAGTTGTTTGGAGATAGAAACGTGGGGTAAGAAACCCGACTCATTTGTCACTTGTCAAATTATATTCAGCCGCGAGGGAGCTGCGGTGACAATAGGTACATTATTTGCGTATGTAATGTAATAATGTGTGTGTGTAATTGTATGTAAATTATACATGCAGAATTTGATCTACTTTTTTTTTTATTTTTGTTCATTTATTTATTAATCTTTAATACAATAAGATAGTGTAAATGGCGAACTTCGATATGGCGTTATCTACCAGTAGATCGTAGACAGGAATAACAGAAAATATAATTGACAATGTAAAGTGATGAGCAAATAAATAGAAAAACAAAAACAATATTAAAACAGTAATTTAAAATAATATACTTATAGTTTTATTTTAATATTACATCTGGAATCAACAGCTTATATCTAGAATAATTAAAAATATAATATTTACACTGTACATTAGCCAATTACACATTCCCAATTTGTATACCAGATAATATTATGCTTATTTTTGGAGGGTAGTTTAATTTGAATAGAAAAAAATATATAAAAATAAAATCTATGGAGATACTTATTTAAAATGTCGCATCACTGGAAGTTATATATATATATATATATATATATATATATATATATATATATATATATATATATATATATATATATATATATATATAATTTATTAATAGGCATTTTTTTATATTTTACCTGAATGATTGCATTGGTTCCTGTTTTTATGAACTATGTGCCAAAGTCAAGAAGTCAATATGCAGATATTTCGAATTTTATTACTTATGAATACAATGAGAGAATTTAAAAATATATTTTTTAATAAAAATAAGTGTCCAACGCACGATTTACATTAACCGGTGCGGTTCGGTGCGCGTCAGAGGGCATTTTACATTGCAATAAAATAAATTAAAATTGTCTTTTCAGTAATTTAAAGTTTTTATTTATAACATGTTTGATTTATTAAGTGATAGTGTAATAAAAGTACTGTGTAATAAAAATTCCGCAGGATTACATTTTCTTATTCAGAGATTCAGCAGCCACTAGGATTTTTATTAATAAATGATAATGGAATCACCTGTGAAAGGTGACAGGTGAGAATAAAAACAGGTTATGAATTCATCGGGAATTAACGATGATGGTCTCCAGGAGAAACCATGTGGATATTAACCTGACAAAGTTATATTGCCAGCAATAGAGCTGCCAATACTAACAATTTCTTTCTTTCCTCAACTGTCACTGCGCGCGCGTATACCTTACTCCTCGACGCGCACCATTTGATATAAATTATGTACTAAAAATATTTTCAAGTATATTTCAAAATTATGAGTTGTGATTGGGGTTGCTAACTTAGTTTTTCCTTTAAAAAGAGACAAACGATCGAGTACCTTGCAAAAATATACGGGATTTTTTTTCTCTCGGGACAACACGTTATGAATGCTAAATCTATAAATACATACTGATTGTATCGTTCTCAGTCTAATAGTTACGTATACTGTACGTTTTTAACTGTTAGTGCACTTTATAGTAGTGAATAACCCTTCACTAACAAGTCGCGTCGAGTCCGATAGGTCCTCAAAGATTTTTGAACATATGGAACATGGTCTGTCCCCACTGAAAAATATATTTAAGAAATATGTAACGTCCCACGAAATACGACACGGTTGGTAATGCTAGTTGTACTACTTGAAATTTAGTGTAAGTATTCCCAATAACTTTTTCTGTATCTTATCAGGTCCGAGACTACTCAAGTACTTAAGGGAGGTCATTCCATCTCCAAAACCTCGTTCCGAACGTTGGGTGTCCACATCAGTCCCTCAGGCCCAATGGAAGACTCCTAAAGCCGAATTATCATCTGCAGAATACCACACCAATAATCTTTTGGTAAGATTACATATTTCTTCAGACTTTTTTTATTTGCATAGAAATTATTAAGTATTGTAACTCAAGAACACAAATGACACGAACATATGTGGGATATTTCTGGTATTGCAAGTGTTGTAGTCTCCTCTTTCTATTTTAGAGGAATCGTATGCTTTGTTTTAATATATAATAATGGAATGATAATACTGCATGCGCTAACGGTACATCGGCGGTGTACCATTAAGAAATGTTAGATGAGAATGAAAAGGCAGGTCAGTTAGCCCATCGTCATGAATATACCTGGAATTCAGCACGATGGTTTTCAGGGGGAAACACGCGGAGGTCGACCTGACTAACAATGAGACTTGTAGTCCGTATTACTAACAATCCCTTCCTTTCTATCATAAGCTTTATTACAAACTTTGAATAAAAATCGATCCTTCAATTTAACAGAGCCCAGTCCTCTTTGAAGAAACCTCTCGGCTAATTCAGCACAACGCTATCACCATAGAAGTTGCTCCACATGGTCTACTCCGAGCCATACTTCAGCGGTCCCTCAAGAAGGACGTCATCAATATATCCTTGACTCAGAAGAACCATGAAGATAACGTACAAGTTCTGTTCACAGCACTTGGAAAGTAAGTACTTTAATAATTATCCAAGTAGCTAGTGCTCATTACGATGGCATACTATCTGAGACCTCAGGAATGGCAATGCAAGAGGGGTGATGCCCATGTTATTTTACAACTATAGGTGACAGTTACCACTTACCATCAGGTGGTCAGCTCGTTTGCTATTCTGAGCTGTATGAAAATCGAATGTCGTCTTCGATACATATTCTAGAGCTTGTTTTTACCGCATTAAATTTTTTTGTAGTGACAGTAAAAGGTACGGATACGAAGCCTCTCGCATAGATTCTCTTGGAAGGTTAAAATTTTTAATTGTGTAAAATAATTTGTAGTGTTGGAAGAAAAGGATATAGATATAAGACTGTCTTGTCCTCTTTTCATCGTCAGAATTGTGTAATAAATGGTTAAAGAAACAAAGCATAATACATCATTGCAAGAGAAGGAGAACTCGAAATAAAAATTTATACCAAGCCGTCTGGCCAGTATCTTTTTTTATTATTTTATTTAATTTTATTATAGCACGATATGTAAATACACCATATTGAGTAAATACAGAGAATATGGTCTATGAATACGATCAACCGAAAAGAGGATGATTTACACTCAACGGTTGACCGCATTATATGTACTAGCTTACTAAGTGCGTTGTCACATTGCGTTTGAAGTATCTGAGGGTATAGGATGAAAGAAACACTGGTGTTATAATAGTATATATGCTTCTCTTATAAGGAAAAATCTGTGTCTAGCAATGATATGGTAACAGGTATTTAAGATGGGAAGTCTTGGAGAGTATATTATTAGTAATAGGGTTGAAGGTAGTGATGTGCGACTTTACTAATTCGACTACAAATTAATCGACTGAACAATTCTATCGGATTATTCGAATAATTTTTAAATAAAAATTAGTAGTCGAATGACGACTACAAATTTAATCCAATTTCTAATGTCATCCTATTACTAATTTCATTTACTATACGATTCTACTAATAGGTAAAATCATTCATTAAGTTATTCATATACGAGTCGGTACGAACATAGCCGAGTCGACCCGATCGCTGGTAGCTCCTTTATTTGTAAATAGTCAAGTGTTGTCATTTTATATTTAGTAAAAACTAGCAATTTGTAGTTTACATCGAATTACTAATTAGTAAAATTATTAGAATACGAAAATTTTGTATATTACTAATTTTGTAGTCGAATTATAAGATTAGTAATTACTAATTATTCGAATATAAAAATCATTCGAATTCGCACATTGTTAGTAGAAGGTTCCTTTACTAACAATATATTTTGTCAGATCGTCTTCTATGCGATTCTCCCTGGAAATCATTATGGTAAACATGCTACTTCTACTTTTTTTTTATACAACTTAGAATGACAAACAAGCTGACGGCCCACCTGATGGAAAGTTTGTAACCGTCGCCTATAGACATGAGCAGTACCATGCATATAACAGAGTATACTGTTTCGCCTATGATACCCCCCATGCGTTGCCATTCATGAGGACTCAGGTGTTATTCCTCTGTACTCAGTAAATTCACGCCATATCCCACCCTTCAAACCAAAACACAGCCAAAAATACTTGAAATCATTATAGTTAATTATTGCTAAATTTCTCATGGTGGTCAACTGACCTGACGTCATCGTCACTGGTATCCCGCAATGGCGATGTTACCATTTTAACTTCATACTTTTAAAAAAAGGTTTATTTGAAAATAAAATGTTTATTTACAGATTGTACGAGTCAGGATTGAACCCGCAACTAGCCAACATCTACCCGCATGTGCAGTTCCCAGTGTCACAGGGTACGCCCATGTTGTCCCATTTGGTGGAGTGGGAGCACAGCGAAGATTGGTAAGTAAGCTTTTTATCTGACTGTTGAATAAAGAGAATGATTTTCAGGTATTCTTGCTACTTAATATTTAAAAAGAATGTATGTTTGTTTGTTACATTTTGGTGCCTTTACAGTTCATGGTTATATAATGGTTTGGTTGCTTGGTTTCGAAAACAATATCCGGGTACAGCATGTCTATACTAATTTTATAAAAAAATGTTATTTATTTATTACATCAACTGTATAAGCTTTACAGTGTCCCAATACACTCACTCATGATGTTGTTTATTACGTTTACTGCTTTATAGACCAACATAAACTAAAATTGTTATCTTCAACTTGCGTCTGAATGCCTTCAAAATCTCAATCTTCAAAATCAAAATAAAATCAAAATATATAAATATATATATATATATATATATATATATATATATATATATATATATATATATATATATATATATATATATATATATATATATATATATATATATATATATATATATATATATATATATATATGCACGCATCAATGGAACAGACTCAATAAAGACACTTTAAAGATACAAGACGCCAGACATTGTTTTCTCATTCTATCTATTACCAAAACGTATGTATGGATTAATTCTTTCGCTACTTATCTAAAGAAGCCCGACCTTATATTATCTAAGATTCGCTCTTATCTTTCCAGCAGTCCACCCTCTTCCATCCATCTCATCCTTAGGTCGATATCCATTTACGTCAAAACTAGAAACGTAATCTTCAAATTGTGTATTTAACACGCATAATTGGAAAAGATGCAAAGTCACTTTAAGAAACAAGACGGCGGATATTTTTGTCTCATTCTATGCGGAACTTTTTTATCAATAGATTCTTTCACTATTCGTTCCGAGAGTCTGTATTTTTAGTCTTTTATTTTATTTGTCACAAAGTTTATCCGTCTGTTAGAAGGAAAGAAAGAAAAAAAAAATATTCAAAGGATTATACGACTCGCACAGTAGCATACAAAACAAAAACAAAACAAACAAACAAAAAAAAAAATATTCAATAGTATACAAAATAAAAATCGTCTACCGTTTCAGCAGATCTACTCTTGTGTCATCTATCTTTGTGAAATTAAAATTGTGTAACCTCTTTTATGTACTTTCTTTTTGTTTTTTTTTTTTTGTATATGCATCGTTTAATTCCTTTAAATATGTACCAATAGCTAGTGTTATTCGTGTGTTGTAAGTGATGCAAATAAATTATATATCTATCTTGAATCTAATATCGATATCAATCCAATATATTGCCAATGACAGTTTTCGAATAAGTAGTCGAAAGTATCTTTAAATTTTATATATTATATATATAAAACGCGAGAACTAATTGATCGGTCTAGAGAATAAACAACTAAGCACGAGTAATATGAATTCCGATTCGATATCTATGTATTAGTTTCCTCTAGACATTGATGGCAGAATATCTATTTTAAAATATGTAAAAGGCTGTTATCCAATATAATTTTTTTGAAAATAGACTCATAACATATTCATTACTTGCCGTGTGATCCTGGCATAGAATAGGACGCCCTTTCCTTTCCCGTGGATGTCATAAAAGGTGACTGACGATGAGATGACTATGAAGGACGAGGGATGGACAGCAGCGTCTTTCTTAAAACATCTCCAAAGCCTAACTGCGTTTGCCAATTCACCTGCCAAGCGTGGCAACTACTGACAAACTCCCCAAGGGGGAGGCTTATGTTTAGCAGTGGACAGTTATATGATGATGATGATGATACAGAATCCTTCATTCAAAACCATTTAAAAGTTATTGAATATGATCTAAACTTATAAATTTAACTTGCCTGCTTTGTATAATACCTTACCTAATGTTAAATTGCCAAACATGGCAACTACAGCCAAACCCCCAAGGGGAAGACTTACGAGTATGTTCAGCAGTGGACAGCAGACGGCTCATATGATGATGATTATTATTATTGGATCAGTCAGATCAGATATTGTAACTGATACAGAAACTGCTATATATTTCCTACCCTTACAGAACACTAGACGTTCTTATTATTTATATCGGCTTTACTCGCATAAATTCGGGGTTGCCCGACATAAACAATTACAATACACTTATAATTCACGACAGTTATTATTCAACACTAGAGTTTAGTCGTCTAGCGACTAGACGTCCTCTCTACCACGTTTTCGCGTCTCGTTCTATCTTATCCAGCTAAACGTATATTCGTACCTCTGTCCCATTCGTGTTTCAACCATGAAGCAGTTGTATTTGCATGGCTGTGTTTCGGTTTGAAGGGTGAGATATGGCGTGAATTTACAGGGTACAGAGGAATAACACCTGAGTTCTCAGGGATGGCAACGCATGGGGGGTTCCATGGGCGAAACAGTATACTCTGTTATGTCCACGGTACTGCCATTGTCTATAGGCGACCTTTGCCACTTTCCATTAGGTGGGTCGTCAGCTTGTTTGCTTTTCTAAGTTGTATAAAAAAAATTCGTCGCTCGTTCGTAGACTAGATTCGTAGGTACTGGTATTATCTTTCACACGATCCATCCATCTATCCTTTGGTCTTGTACAACGTAATCTTCAAATTGTATATACATCCGCGAAATCCAATTTAGCACGCACAAATGGAACAGACGGCAATAAAGACTCGTCGAGTTGTATATTAATCGGGTGCCATCAGTCAAGTGGCCGCAAACAAATAGCTCCCTTCTGATCTATCGCAGCCACTTTGTACATTGACTGCAATATTGCCAAGATGCGGAGTTAAAGCGTGCCAAACAACGTGGAATAACATGTTCGTTTAAAAAAAATGGTTAGGGAAGAGTCGAACATGCAGAGGGTACAGAAATAATCTGTAAATAGGTTTCAGTTTTTAAAGAAATATTTATTTATTTTAGTGTACCATTTAAAGAATCTTAGTCGTCTCTTACAATTTTACTGGTGATTATGTTCATATCTATAGGTGACGGTTACCACTTTTCATTAGCTGAGCCGATAGTTTGTTTGCCATTCTAAAGAAAGTTTCAAAACCAAAATGTACTGAATGAGTATTTTTTTAGGTATGTCACATCATACAAAGCCCAAGAGAAGATGAAGTCAGGCGAGAGAACCGTCAAGATGTCTATATTCGATGAAGATTGTGAATTTATGGCTGGTCACGTCATTGACGGTGAGTTTCACGATTGTAAGGTTTTGCTAGGGTCCTAATGCTAAATTTCTTTTAAAATGCTTTTTTGCGCTTTGTTCTAGTTGTCTTTCATGACAACCTATGTAATACCAGTTTTATTTTACAATAGGCCGTACCCTGTATCCGGCCACCGGATACTTGGTCCTGGTATGGGAGACACTTGGTATGATGATGGGGGAACTATTCACTGAAGTGTCTGTAGTCTTCGAGAACGTCCGCTTCCAGAGAGCTACAAACATTCCCAAAGATGGACAGCTAGAATTCATTGTTATGGTACAAAAGGGAAGCGGTAATTTTGAAGTGAGTAAATATATTATACGCTTTATAGTGCCCATATTTATCCTCGATGAGACAGAGAAAAGTCATCATTCTTCTCTGACTCTTTAGCATCCTAAAGCCAATCTTTAAAATTCCCTCTAGTTTAATAATACGTTTTAAGATTCCGAGATTTCTTTAAGAAAATTATAAATCAGTGAAATGGCTAAAAGCTGACTTATTTATGGGTATAGTAGATATTATAAAATTTTTAGTTTACTTACTTGTGAAAACAATCTTAAATATTGGATTGTGTCATCAGGTTACTGAAATAGTGATTTTTAAACTTTCTTGTTGAATTAAACATTTTGCCTTTTCTAATTTAAACCTTTTTTTATTTTCTTTTTCTTTTTCTGCTTTTTTATAATATAGGCTCAATATTACTCCATATCTTTATTTTACTACTTATTTTATTTTTGTCTCACTAAGATTATAAAGAAGAAAAATTTGATTATTTGTTTATAATAGATACACTCAAAAACTACTTATTAAAAAATTCTTCCGTCTATAGACGAACGTGATATTGTAAAAGGTACAATTCAGGGACTAACAACGGTTAACGATATTAGTGGAAATAGTAGTAATATCGTCTCTTTTACTCCTGAAAGATTGTCGAAAGTGGAGCATCAATTGTTACTGGCCGCGTCTATGCAAAGAAGAACGTGGGACAGACGTATCGTGCATTAGCTGCTCAACCTGAGGCTTCAGGACCTAATATCAAGCACATGTTCACTAAAGATTTCTATAAGGAACTCAGACTTAGAGGATATCAGTACAGGTAGGTTGTAAAACAAAAAAAAAATACTTTGATCTAATATTGCAATGTCTAAATGAAAATAGGTGAAATCTTTATATTATAGTCAATCAGTATTTGGGCAATATGATATATGCTCCGATATTTACGAGTTTTGTAGATATGTTAGATTTTTTTTTATACAACTTAGAATGGAAAACAAGCTGACGGCCCACCTGATGGAAAGTGGTAACCGTCGCCTATAGACATGAGCAATACCATGGACATAACAGAGTATACTGTTTCGCCCATGATACCTCCCATGCGTTGCCATTCCTAAGGACTTAGGTGTTATTCCTCTGTACCGAGTAAATTCACGCCGTATCCCACTCTTCAAACCGAAACACAGCCATGCAAACACAACTGCTTCACGGTTGAAACACTAATGGGACAGAGGTACCCAAGCAATCGACTTTTGTACAAAGTCTCCCTCTGGTGTTAGATGTTCTGTTTTAAATAGTTATTTATTACTGGGTATTGAGTACTGTGATCCAAGACTTTTGTCATTGTAGCAAGCATTCTTAAGTTATGTTGGGTGTTTCTTAATAGACTGTTTGCTTTGTTGCTACTGTTGTTATATAGAAAAGAAAATATTATTCTCTTTTAATTTTTTTGCGAAATTTTAATAATAATAATGATAACAGTTACTCACATCAGGCATACAATAATTATGCAATATTTTAATTTTTTGAGTTATCATAATCAGATGTAGTCAAAAGTCGATGCCAATAAGATTTATGAAAGTGGCTGAAGAAAATATGAGAGATGTATATATAGCCATATTTGGAAGTAAATTCTCTATTCCTACTACGTAAAAATTTAGTGAGAAATTAGAAACTTTAACTCATTCATTCATTTTAGCGGCTTATTCCGTGGAGTACTGGGTTGCAACGTCGAGGGAACCCGAGGTCGTATCGCCTGGGTCAATAACTGGGTCACATTCATGGACTGCATGCTGCAGCTCAAGATCATTGGCCAGGACACCCGTGGTCTCTTCGTGCCAACCAGGATTGAGAGACTGTCTGTCGATGTCAATATTCACTATAACGCCATCTCGAAAATGAATCCAGAATCGAAGAAACATTCATTTGAAGTCCGAGTCTACCATGATGTTGATGTGATCAGGTAATACTTGTGTTATTATTAGTAACCAATCAAGAAAATAAGATCTCATCAAACAGTTGATACTGTGGCCTAAACACGTATATTGTTATTATAGTTAATGTCAGTCCGGTTTAGTAGAATCTATAAATTAAAAGCTCATTCAGTACCTAATAGTCTTCATGAATATATTTACATGTCTCGCTTAAAAAGCTCAAAGTTAAAGGAAAAAACATAAACACGTAGTAAATTCCACAATTTATAAATTAGGCTGAAGTAGATGTAAAGATTTCATATTCTGAATGTCTACATAAAGTATGCACTCATAATATCTTGTTCTGTAAATAAACTTTGAAAGAAGAATAAGACGAAGATTTTCTAGATATTGTTGTATGTGTGTTTATTCGTTTCATTAAGGTTAATTTTATCTGATTATGTGATTTACGGACCTTTAGGTCTGGAGGTGTAGAAATCCGAGGGCTACATGCCACGCCAATTTCCAAGAGGGTGCCACTGGGTGTACCTGTGTTGGAGAAGAACATATTTATACCGAATTTTGGTAAAAATAAGATAAAGGTAAGATTATTTATATCTCAGTGTGGTGAGAGAGTAAGAATATAATGAACTATCACGTCTTTCATCACCAGAATTCTTCAGATTGATACAATTTTCTCCTTTTTGTATAGCTTGAAGACTGCCTCCGTGCTAATATTCAGCTAATTCTTGAGAACATACAAACGTATAAGGTTAAGAGCATCGAATTCGCCGACGAGGAATACAAGAATGATAGTTTACAACCGATAATAGAAAAAGTTGGCGAAGTGCTCGGGGACCTTCCGTTGGTGCAAGCAGAGCTGCTTCTAATATCTGAAGAGGCAATTGAAATGCCTTCAACCGTAACAGTGGAGAATAAGAAACTTACTGGAGAGTCGAATGCTGTGTTGTTCGTTGGAGCTAATTTATTGAAAAGGGATACGGTAAGTATTATACAGTATTAAATTGACGGTTTAGTTGGCAAATACAGCATTTTGTAATTATTAAGCAAAAACATTTTTTTTTATCTTTATTTATTTAGGGACTTTTGTCCTTTTAGGCACGTCAGTCCCATTGTACTTTAATCAATTTTAGGACATTATTGGATATATTTTAACAAAATATAAACAAATTCAAAAGACACCACCGAAACAAATAATATGAATAAAAGGAATGTCGTGAATGTGAAAAGGAATGTAAAAAAAAAAAACCTAATAATCTATGGTCGGATGTAGGCCTTAAGGCAAGTAGATCTACATCAAAACCTGCATCCAACCATATCATACACCAGCCTCGCGTCGTCGGACAATCAGAAACATTAAAATAATAAAATTATCTATGAAAATTGAGAGATAATTACGACTTGATCGCACTTTGCCAAGTTAAATTTATGAACACTCTTACAGCCATATGACACTTTCCACCAGTTAACCATTAGACATGTAAAGAAAGTGTTTGAGGAGCCCTGCAATATTGTATTACTTATATGAATATTATTATTATAAATGCGAAAGTGAGCATGTTTGTTTGTTTGATTTTTTTAATGGGTGAAGATGAAATTGTAACTCGGCCTGCGCTATCGGTATACTGGCGGGTCCCAGTGAGAGACGATAGGCGAGGATCAGGAAAGGTCATTTGGCCCATAGTGACCAATTGAATAATAATAATTTATTATTATTTCCAGGGGGTGCATTGCATAGTTACTGTTAAATCTATTTACTAACAATCTCTTTTCCTCCATGTTTGTTTGTTTCCTTTAGGCTTAACAAATTATTATTAAATTTAGTATATACGTACAATATGGGAAGAAAAAGAATATAGGCTATTTTTTATACCGGTGAGTAAACATATCTTGGTCACGCTTACGAAGTCGCGTTTAAAAGTTAGTATTGTAATATTTCCAAAATGGCCACCATCACAAAATGGTGAATAATAATAACCCTGTTAATATGGGTACCAAATGAAAAAGCTTGAAAAGTAGGAAACGATAAAATAAATGACGTCATATTAAAATGGTCGCAACCATGAGATTGCGGTATACATTATTAAACGGTTGTTTTCAAACAGACTTGTTTGTTGATGTTACGCTGTAACGTCCCCAATTCTGAAGCTATTTTAATAAAACCGCTCACAGCGAAACAAAATTTTCTCGAAAATACACTATACCGCATTTCAATATCTTAAATCTGATTAAATCGCTTTAATCCCTGAAGCAAAAAAGTTTGCTTATCAATCTGGTATCTATCTGTGGCATCATAGTTCCAAAACGGATGCATTGATTTTGATGCGTTTTTTGTTTGAATGTTAATGTGATCGAGATGAGCTGTATGCTTGTTTGCCACTTTGTAGTATAAAAAAAAGCTGACTGCCCACCTGATGGAAAGTGGTAACCGTCGCCTATAGACATGAGCAGTACCATGGACATAACAGAGTATATTGTTTTACCCATCATACACCCAAGGGACCCTGAGGACTCAGCTGTTATTTCTCTGTACCCGGTAAATTCATTGCCATATCCTACTCTTCAATTACCAAGGGCCAATTACACCTTCTTTTCCCGTGGGTGTCGTGAGCGGTAACTAAGGGAACTAAATGGTCGAGGGATGTGCAGCAGCGTTTCTGTTAAAATATCAGCAAAAGCCTAACTACGGTTGCCAAGCCGCTTGCCAAGCATGGCAACTACTGGCAAAGCCCTCCTTATAGAGGAGGTCTATGCTCAGTAGTGGATAGTTAACGGCTGATATGATAATGTACCAACCAAGGTTGCGATATAAGGTGAAGGAATACTGAAGGGTGGCGGTTTTTTCATTGTTCGTATAGTGATAAAAATCTATACAAATTTGTAATTGGGTAAAATTGAATAGAATTCTGTGAATTTGGGAAAAATATCGCCATTGGCAACTTTGATTTCTGCACTAAATTTCACTTCTTGTTTTTTGCTAGGGAAACGGTATATTCCCTAAATATTGAGAGCCACACTTCACTGTCACTTTCATTGACACTTCGTTATTGGGATACCAAATATAATGGTGAATTTACAAAAAAAAAAAAAACACTATTGGATCATTGTATGTAAAAACACTTTCGTATTAAACCTCACTGTTGAAACCAGCTAATCTAGACTGTTCCAAAAGCCAGACGAAATGCCATAGTTCTCCGCAAAGGATTGTACTTGTATGATTTATTGTTTACTCTATTACGTGTTGTATTAAAATATAACCATTACAATATTACTTTAGCAACACCACCGTACGGTCATAACCCCATTATACAATTAACACTAATAGGATTGCAATTAAGCATATCTAATTACTTAATGGAAGATAAAGAATTAGGTTACTGCATGATACAAAACAGAGAAAGCGACTACCTAATCAAATTAAGCATCACTTAACCTCAATTAATGATACCAAGAATATTATCCCGAAAAATCTTGTAATAATTTTTATTATCTTCATAATGTAAAATTGAATCTGTGAAGTTGAGATTTTTCACAAGCTGCAGTTAAACAGTTGGTGTTCGGATGATTAAATCCATTTTGGAAAGAAATTATAATTTATGAAGAAAATATAAAATTAAAGTTCTTAAAGGTATAAAGAATAAAAGTTTAATTTTATTTATGTAATAAAAATAAAAATATGTTATGATAGAAAAAAATATATAAAATAATAATTTTCTATTAATTTATCATAGTGGGAATAGTTGACAAAAATGCTTTATTAGCTCTTTTGATGCCAGTTCTGATTTTAAATATGTTTGCCTAAATTTTATTATAATCTACATACCTATATTCAATCTTATCAACCTGACACTTTATGAGGTTTTATAAGGAATAGATAGAGTGCCAAATGTACACTTACTTATTCTTAATGATTATGTAGTATACAAATTGACCCCGGAATCACTTTTTTGAACAATTCTAAGGAAAAAGAATATATGGAACATTATAATTTTAATCTAAATATTTTTTCTTAATTTCTTTTTAAATCATATTGATATTTCAAATTTTTTCTATATTTTTACTTTGTAGGTACTAAGCCAAGCCGCGGCCACTCTCCGCGATAAATGCTTCATTATAAGTCGAGAGAAAGACCTTCCTGATCCTAAAACACATTCAGACAAATATGATATCATCACCATTAACGATGTTGGTACAGAATATATTGTTCTACTGAGGAAACGCGTTGGAGCTCGTCCAGCTAAGTTTGTTAAAATAGAAAGTATAGATGAAACATTCTCCTGGGTAGAAAAGGTTAAAGAAGAATTAAAAGAAGGCCAGAAAGTCGTGCTATACACACAAGATGAACCAATCAACGGTCTTTTAGGACTTGTGAACTGCCTAAGAAAGGAACCCGGTGGTGAAATTGTTAGCGGCTTTCTGATTTCTGATCCGGCCGCTCCTAAATTTAATCCCGATTTGGAGTTCTATGAAGAGCAATTGGACAAAGATTTGGCTATTAATATCTATCAAGATGTAAGTACTACTATTTAAAATATTATTATTTTTTTGCATTTTCTAGTTTAGGCAAATTATAAACGTCGTAATTTTTTGTTTAGTAATAATATATTTATTATCAAGGAAAATTTGTTTGAAACAAAAGTTTACCAAAAAAAAAAAAAAAATTAAACGATTTTAAATCATAAGTGCTGCAAAACATATTACTAATTATTTTTATTTCTATGTTGTTGCTATTGCAAAACAATTAAGCACCTAATTGAATGGTAACAGGGTCAATGGGGTACCTACCGTCACTTGCTTCTTGGGGACTTAGAGACTGTTCGTGCAGATCACGCCTTCGTGAATACTCTAACTATTGGAGATCTATCATCACTGAGGTGGATTGAGGGACCTATCAGAAAGGACCAGCCTTTTAAAAATCCAACTAGTGTACTTGTACAAGTAAGTTTTTTATATTTATTAATTTTTATAAAACCTTTTCAGTGTATTGGTTTTATTGAATTAGATCGTTACAAGATTTTAATTAAGAATGTTTTAGATTTTGGATCATCTAAGACTCCTACTCAAGATACAAAAGCGAACTGTTAGTTTTTTGTATGCTAGTGTAATATTACAAAAAAATTATAAATGAAAGAATCACATGAAAAAATGATGAATGAATATTTATTTATTTGGTTAACACTTTATTCCACCAATAATACAGGAATTGTTGAAAGGTTAGCAATATATATAGTATAGTAAAAAAGGTGGTCTTATTGCTAAGCAATCTCTTCTAGACAATCTTTGGGTAGAAGGAATTAAAAAATACTGTTTTCGTCAAATAAAGATACAATATTATGCGGTAATTAAAATTATACGCACTGTGCTTAAAAGCCGCGTAAAAATGACAATGCCCAGTGCGGGTACTTTACTTACCTGAAATTCCTCTTTTCGGTAAAAAGCAGACCTCGAAACTAATTAACTAAATCTGAGATGAATCTCTTTTAGAGAAAACAATTGACAGTGGGAATAAAGGCTGGGTGGATCAGTACTTTAACTAAGCTTCAATATTTGTTGTGGCTAAAAGAATTTGTTTATATACTTTTATTCCTGTTGTATATATGGTTAAAGCTACGGAATGTAGCTAATTATTTTAATAAATGAATAATTTATAGGTGTACTGTTGTGCACTGAACTTCCGTGACATCATGACGGCGATCGGCCGCGTGACGGTGGACGCAGTAGCTCGCGGTAGACTTGCACAAGAGTGTGTGCAAGGCTTTGAAGTTGTTGGACGTACACCAAAGTTTGTATTATAATTTATATATTTTATTACACGCACTAATATTATATATATTCTTTATTGCACTTGTAAATTACATTGTTAATGCATTTATAAATATTGTGAGCAAGGGTGGACTTATCTCTGACAGAGATCTCTTCCAGTCAACCCAATGCATTTTTTTATGATACCCAGAACGGCAAACAGCGAACTGCCTACTTGATGGAAAGTGGTATTCGTGTTTCAACCGTGAATCATTTGTGTTTGCATGACTGTGTTTCGGTTTGAAGGGTGGGATATGGCGTGAATTTACTGGGTACAGAGGAATAACACCTGAGTCCTCAGGAATGGCAACCCATGGGGGGTATCATGGGTGAAACAGTATAGTCTGCTATGTCCATGGTACTGCTCATGTCTATAGGCGACGGTTACCACTTTCCATCAGGTGGGCCGTCAGCTTGTTTGTCATTCTAAGTTGCATAAAAAAAAAAAAAAAAAAAAAAAAAAGTGGTAACAGTCAGTATAAAATATTTTAAAGTGCCCTTAAATTATGAAGTGAGACACAAATTCCAGAGACAAGGATAACAGGTTCAGTTGCTAGACTTTCTTTGAGAAGTACAATTAACAATGATTTTCCAACAGTGGCTCCCGAGTCATGTGCATGGTGAAGAACTCCGGCATGGCCAACATGATTGAATGTGACAAAGCTCTCTCTTGGTACATCCCTGAAGAATGGAGTTTTGAGGAAGCGGCCACAATACCTGTTGCTTATGGAACTGTTTACTATTCTATGGTAATTATCATGTAATTGATTACCCACTATTTGTAAAAAATATTTGCATTTGAATCTATTTTTGATGCAACATGATATGGCAAACTAGCTCACAGCTTATTTGCAAATAGCAACACCTATTTGTTGTCTTTAGGTAATAGCTATTTAGATATAGTTTGTTGAATATATTCTGAACCACTCAAAAACTCTTATTTGCATTTTCAGTTATAATTTTAGTCAATTTAATATTTGTTGTGTTTAGATAATGGTGGGTCAGATCCAGCGCGGCGAGTCGATCCTGATCCACGCGGGATCAGGCGGTGTGGGTCAGGCTGCTATTAACGTGGCGCTGCATTACGGCTGCGAGGTCTTCACCACTGTTGGTACACCGGAGAAGAGAGCGTTTATTAAGAAACTATTCCCTCAACTTAAAGGTATGATTATTATTGTATGTTATCACATTTATTTGTGTTGAATTGATGATTTACGGGGCACAATAGTGGGCACATTGTTTTGTGGTAATATAAGGTCCAAGTTTTAATTATCGGATGGGTCGATTTCAAAATGAACTTTTGTGACTAGGTTCTGGTTTTGATGTTCTTGGTAAAACAGTATATTCTAGCTAGCCAGGTGATAAGTATGATTGTGTAATTATATAAATTAAGTATTTATTTATCATTATAAATAAGTAATGATATTTATTACTGTAAACAGATAGCCATATCGGAAACTCTCGAGATACATCGTTCGAAGATATGATCCGCAGAGAAACGAACGGCAAAGGTGTGGACATGGTTCTCAATTCACTTTCAGATGACAAACTTCAGGTGAGATTAATTATTATTTCTGACTTCTTTATTTATCATTTAGACATTCTTCAACACAAAATTGAAAAATAGGAGGAGAAGAAAGAAGCTTACCTAAACAGATGACTTTTATAAAATTTGTCATATTTTTGTTTATCATTGCCTTCACCTAATATCATATTTATACACTAGAATGAATAGTAACTACAACGTTATTCCTAAAAACATTAATAAATCAATTAGTCTTTGCCATAACATTTCATTAAGGTGCATTTTAAACAAATTGTAGCTATCTGTAATGTCTTTGGAATTATATAAAACTATTTACATGTTCTTTTTACTAGTAAAAAGAACATGTAAATAGTTTTATTTTTAAATTATATATTAAGTACGTGTTGTATAATAAATAAGTAGTATTACTAACTAGAAGATTTGTTTACACCAAAATAAAGCTGGGTTGCGTTTTATTATAAACATTAAAAATTATATTATTATAATCATGTAAATCAACTTCATCATTATTATCTTCCATTAGGCTTCAATCAGGTGCCTCTGTTACCGTGGCCGATTCCTCGAGATTGGCAAGTTCGATATCAGTAACAATACGCCCATTGGAATGCACTTCTTCCTCAAGGAGACCTCCATCCACGGCATTATGTTGGATTACATCTTCGACCAATCCGTTGAATTCAGGCTGGTTAGTTTTTTATTATTTACTAATTATTTTGTCATTACCTAATCATCTTTTTTTTTTACACCGGATATCAAGTTTATAGGTACCGATACTGCATGTATTTTGTACGTCAAATTTGGACCTAAATTAGAAGCAATAGAATTTGACTCTGGATAAATTTCAATTTGGAGTTCCAGTAAATATTTAGAAAATTAACAAAGACGTTATTATAAATGATATTTTTTGAAAGGTTTATTGACTGAGCGTATTTACTCTAACAAAGACTTTTGTAACATAAAGATAAGTTTAGTAGTATCATTTTTTAAAAACTAACCCTTTTTGTCATAAAACTAAATCCTGCAAATTCAGTATATTCTTTAAAATTGTCAAATTAACACAAATAAAAAGGTGAAATACTTTAATAATAAACATATAAGAGAGACCATTTAATTTTTATGAATAAAGAAAGCTGAACTACTTACTTATTTTTAACAGAGGCTGCAAGAACTTCTACTATCTGGTATAGAAAGTGGAGCAGTCCGGCCGTTGACTTACTGTACGTTTGGTAAGGACGAAGTCGAGACTGCTTTCCGTTATATGGCAGCTGGCAAGCACATTGGAAAGGTACATATTTGTCCAAACAATACTAGCTAATAGACAGAATATGTTTAATTTGTATATTTGATACTTACATTAACACAAATACGTTTAAGTTTCATTAAAGGTAGACTTTGCAAAAAAACCGTCTACTTGAGTTGGGTACTGAAATAGTCTAACAAACACAGATACGTTGTAACTGTAATACAAGTAGGATATTTGTACTGCTGCCGTGAAGGTTCTTTGTTGGAATGGCTGTATTTAGGTTTGAAGGACAAGGTTTAAATGGCAGTGAGATTACAGGATACCAAGAGTTAATCTGTTTTTGATGAAACATTTGTGTGGGGACAATCTATCTATATAATCTAAGATTTTTTATTAATGAATGATAATGGAATGGTTACCCCGCCGGCGCTAACGGTATACGCTGGCGGGGCACCAGTGAGGGATGATAGGTGAAAATGAATAGGCAGGTCAGTTAGCCCATCGAGATGAATAGACCTGGAATTCAGCACGATGGTTTCCAGGGCAAACCACGTGGAGGTTGATCTGGCAGGGTATATTGCTAGTAATGGGACTGTTAGTCCGCCTATAATCTAAGATTAGGAGTATTATAAATAATTTTTCTTTTTATTATATAGGTAATCATAAAAATTCGTGATGAGGAGCGAACCAACCGACCCGTGAAGCCTGCCATCCTGCCTATTGAAGCTATTCCTAGGTATATTCTTGATTTTATTATAATAGTATGCAAACTTTCTCGTTCACCTGAATTCATTGACTTGCAACAATATGCTTAAAGTTGTTATTTGAACTATCTGAGGGTCATTTTAAACTATGATTTCCCTTTTTTTTATATACTACTTAGAATGGCAAACAAGCTGACGGCCCACCTGATGGAAAGTGGTAACCGTCGCCTATAGACATGAGCAGTACCATGGACATAACAGACATTATGTTTCGCCCATGATACCCCCTATGCGTTGCTTGAGGACTCAGGTGTTATTCCTCTGTACCCAGTAAATTCACGCTATATCCCACTCTTCAAACCGAAACATAGCCATGCAAACACAACTGCTTCACGGTTGAAACACGAATGGGACAGAGGTACCCAAGCAAGGTCCTTTACAAGGTCGTCGAGAATAAATCGATTATCAGTACTATAAGGTATGAGCCGACCTATTGCCTCTTTAACTTGTCAACCCTTTGGATTCTATTAGTCACTTTTGTTCTTTAAGTTTTAGTATTGGCGTTTCGATAATAATTTCTAAGTAATATCTATTTTTTAGATATATATGCCACCAGGATCATGTGTACATCATTGTGGGAGGACTGGGCGGATTCGGACTGGAATTAGCAGATTGGTGTATCTTGCGAGGTGCTAGGAAACTCCTTCTAACTTCACGAAAAGGAGTTAGTAATGGTTACCAGTCTACCAGGTTAAGGTAAGCTCTTCATATATTTTTTGGTATGAGTTATGATCTTAATAATTCAGGTTAATTTATCGGTTACCAAATTTCATTCAAACAAAATTATATGTCCATTATTCACACGCACAATTCAGTCATTTCTTGGTAAATGAAACTGAAAGTTACTAAATTCACAAAAAGAACAAATCAAATGAATTATATCTTTACAATTTACTAACAACTGAAATACAACCGCAAAGACACGCTTGTTTGATCAAGCGCCGGATGGAAGAAAGCGAATCAATGACAATCATAGTTGTATTTTTTATTAGTTTATAGATTATTAGAAACTGAGATCCTGGCCATTAGAAATAAACTTTCACTAATTGAACTGAATTGTTTTAGTGCAATAAAGAATATATATATATATAATATATATATATATATATATATATATATATATATATATATAAATGAGATTTAGACATATTGAAGCATATAATATTGCGTAAACATTAGTTAAGGTATTATACAAAGCAGGCAATTTAAATTTACAAGTTTGGATCATATTCAATAACTTTTAAATGGTTTTCAATGAAAGATTCTGCATCATTATCATCATAACTGTCCACTGCTAAATATAAGCCTCCCCCTTGGGGAGTTTTGCGAGTAGTTGCCACGCTTGGCAGGCGGATTGGCAACCGCAGTTAGGTTTTGGAGATGTGTTAAGAGGGACGTTGCTGCCCGTTCTTCGCCCTCCCTTAGTTGCTTTTTACGACACCCACGGGAAAATAAGGCATGGCCTATTCTATCCCAGGACTATAAGGCGGTACTCCATATTTAGGATTAAATATAGGTAAAGGCGCAGATAATATGTAGATTATTATCAGTCATAAAATCTGCAGTGATTTTCTTCTATTGACAGAGCTTGGGCATCGTATGGAGCTGATGTTCAAATATCTACTCATGATGTCACAACAGAATCTGGCTGTGAAGAAATGTTGAAGATGGCTAACGCGATGGGTCCTGTTGAGGCGATCTTCAACCTCGCCGTAGTCCTCAAGGATTCCATATTCCAGAATCAAACCGCAGAGACGTTTAAAACGTCATTTGGACCAAAAGCTCTGGCTACAATGCATTTGGATAAACTATCGAAGAAACTATGTCCGAAATTGAAGTAAGTTCATTCTTGTAGTTTCCTTAAATATTAATTCTCACTACATTATACTCCAAGATTTATGAGAAAAGTTTTATAAGAATCGTGGGTCCTCCAATATTTTTGTGGGACATGGGTATTTTCTTTCATAAGAGTTGGATCCCCATAAAAATAACTTTTTTTTTTGACAGAAACTTTGTGGTGTTCTCATCTGTATCCTGTGGTCGAGGCAATGCTGGGCAGACCAACTATGGACTTTCAAATTCAGTAATGGAAAGGATCTGCGAATGGAGAAAGAAACTCGGGCTACCGGCTCTTGCGGTGCAGTGGGGAGCTGTTGGTGATGTAAGTTATGATATACCTCAGTCATTTATAGGGAAACCTGCAATTACACTTTGATCGTTATCAAGATTTTTTATGTTGTTTTAAAAATAAATGTTCTTTTACTAATTATAATTGATAAGATTATCACTTACTTGAGCGTTGGCCATTTAGTAATTTTGTTACCATTGAAGTTTCTTTTTGTGGCAAATGAATTAAAATGAATTTATCATAGGTTGGACTAGTGGCTGACATGCAAGATGACGATGTTCAACTAGAGATTGGGGGCACTCTACAGCAAAGAATATCCTCGTGTTTACTAGCCTTGGACAAGTTCTTGAAACAGGATGCACCAATTGTGTCCTCCATCGTGGTAGCTGAGAAAAAGATTGGCGGATCGGGCTGTGGAAATATCGTAGATGCTGTAGCTCAAATTATGGGTATGTATTATTGAGCTGTGGGTAAAAGAGGTAGATTATTAATGGGTGAAAATGAAAATAGACTGACCTGTGCTATTAGTTTATATGTAAGAGATCACAGATGAAGATGAAAAGAGGCCAAATATTTGATCGTGATGAGATTTCATCACAAATTAACAATTAAAGTTTTCAGAGGCCAATACGGTATTTTACTGGCAATAGAGAGGCTAGTAGAAATTTTCCTTTTTATAACACAGAACTGTGGTATAATTTATTAATGCTATATCAAATTATTGGCTTAAATAAATAAGTCATTTACATACTACGCCTTGTTATCCAAATATAAAGTTCCTCTAATTCTTTGTCAGGTATTAAGGATTTGAAGACAGTGTCACATCAAGTATCTCTAGCCGAGTTGGGCATGGACAGCATGATGGCTGTAGAGATCAAACAGACCCTCGAAAGAGAATTCGAGATCTTCCTTACTGCTCAAGATATCAGAACATTGACTTTTGCCAGGTAATACTTGTACATCTATTTCTTTATTTTTTTTTACATAAATCATCTTAATATTAGCTTTTCTGTTTTTGCTTTTCTTTGTTTAGTCTTGTATCCTATACCTACTAAAAAAATGCGTAATATTTTTTTAAGGCATTATTTTTTAATGCATTATTTAACGTTAATGTAACTTAAAATCTTAAAAGTTTGAATAAAATTATATCTGTCACTTTAACACAGAACACGTTACAAGGTCCATAATATCCCTTATGCGTTGCAGTTTCTAAGGACTAAAGGTGATATGCTTCCATAATTGGTAATTTTATTGCTATATCATCCTTTGAACCAAAGCACCACATTGGCGATAGAAATACATGTGGGTTAGATCGAGGTATTCATGCGGACATTTGTGCAAAATCATTTTTTTTTTGTATTCAAAGACATTATCATTTATTCTTCTGATAGCGTAAAAGGTTAAGCCTATATACTAAAATAAATTTACAGATTAGAAGAACTAACAGCGCAGCGCGAAGAGGCTGCGTCTACATCAGCCGCCAAACCATTGAACATAGACGTCAACGCCGGTCTCAAGGTGCTCATCAGGAACTTTGGAGATGAGAAACTTGCAAATGAACCCCTGCTCTACATGCCAACTATGATTAGCGATGGAGTTGAAGTAAGTAATTAGCTAGTTTTCTACATTGGTGTAAAGTTCTTAATTTTATTTTTCTCTCTTTTTCTCTGTTTTAGTTCTATTATACCTAAAGTACTTGCTTACGCCGAGTAATAATGAAAATTAATTTTGGCTATATTCAGAGTTAGGTTTTCTGCTTCTGAGCATTTGAAAATTTGAACATCTGTAAAATTTAAAATAACAGAACTTTTTGACTTGTGGGATAGAGAGCGGATAGCATCAATTTTTCAAGAAAAAATTACTAATTTATATACATATTGATGCAAAAATATTGTATTCGTTGAATGTGTGAATAAATAAGCATATAACCCGTCTAATGGTACACCATCACTGTAACCAGTGGATGCTTGTAACACTAAAGGTGTTACCTGTTGGTTGTGGACCCTGAAGAAACCCTAATACATGCTTTTTGAAGAACTTTAAAGCTCAGCAAGGAGCTTATTCCATAGCTTCAGCACTGTACTACTGTACGCGACTATCTAGTTTCCTACGTATGAGGATGAATTTCCTGTCGATGACGAGGGATACAGATGAGAGCAATACTACATGCGGGGCCGGTATATGGTATAAGTGTCATTTTATTTTTTAGGGAGAAGAAGCTATCCATGTGATGGAGAATGTGATGTTCATGCTGCCGGGGTTAGAGGGTTGCGCTGCAGCCCTGGAGCCATTGTGTCGTAGACTCAAAGTCAAAGTGTGCGTGTTGCAGCTCGGAACTGAGCATAGGAATGAGAACTGTGAACAGATGGTCGACAGACTGTATCAGGTAAGTTAACAGAACTAGTGATAAAGATTTATTGAATTAGTCAGCTAAAAATCAAGGGTTTGATAAAAATATTACAAACCATGATTGTAATTTCGATTTTTTCTGTAGTTTCTCAATTATTAAAATGCAAGTTTCTAAAAAGTTTTAGATATTTATTACTCATGATAAAACTCACTAAATTGATCTTGCTAAATTGATGATTAACATATACTTTTTCACATTTCTCTACATTTCCTTAAAGGAATACGATTTCGATTATTCTGTACGTCATTTAATTTATTCATTGTTTCAGTTGGCAATTTCTCGTTTGGCTCCTGGTTCTCAATTCTGGCTCCTCGGATATAGTTTTGGAGCATTACTCGCATTGGAATTAGCAAATAGATTGGAAAGTAAAGGTGAGTTTGAAAATTCTTTTCGATTTGCTTAGAAATTACATTGTTACTTCATTATCTTACAAATTGAAATTATATTAAAGGCCGATTTGTATCTGTTATTGAAAGAGTCATCAGCAAGAAAGGCCTGTATAAGTGTATTATTTATAATAACCGTTTTATTCTCTATTGGTTATCAATTCTGTGTCAATTAAAATTATTTCCAAAAAATACGTTAATGTTCTTACCCATTTTTAACAAAATGATTCGCCAGCAATTTCCAATAATAATAACTGATATTATTATACAGTTTTATTTACTTTTATAAATCACGCTGTAGGGAATAATAATTTCTAATTTAGGCTTAAATAATATAGTTTGGATAAGATCAATATTTAATAAACCTCAATCACTATTTAGGGATTAAAGGAACGGTATTCTGTCTGGACGGCGGTCCCGAATTCCTCCTCTCCATCGCTTCTATGACGATAAATGCCAAAAACGACTTCCAGTTGCAGAACAGTCTCATTTGCCATACTTTAGACATTGTAGCACCAAACAGCGAAGTCAACGACATACTTATAGAGAAACTCAATGAAATCGAAGACTATGACGAAAGAATTGATTTCAGTATCAAATTGTCTAAAAAATATGTGGCAACTAACGATTACACCGACGAATTCGTCGCGTCAGCGGCTCGGGCGTGCTTCGATCGAGTCAAGGTGGTCCTCAATTATAATTCCAAAAATGCAACGAAGCTCCTGTCTCCAATAATACTGTTGAGGCCAAAAGAGAATCCTCCATTTATCGTATGCGAAGATAATTATGGTTTAGACAAACACACCGATAATCCTGTAACTATTCATTATTTAGAAGGTAACCATATTACTATAATTGAGAACAAAGATGTGGCCAACATTATAAACAGGGTTATAACTGACAAAGATGGACAAAAAGTGAAGACAATGCAAAATGTTGTTACAAATATGGTTGAGAGTCAACGCGAACTACAAATTTGAAGATAAGATAAAGTGTGAATTATATAAAGTAAGGTGTTCAGAAGTTTAAATTTGTTGATTTAATTTATTGTTGGGTTTTATCGGTATTTTACAAGTACATTTAGATTTAAGTGTTTGTTAAATTTCGTATAAATGGCTGTAAAACTTAGCGACTGATTTATTGTTATTTTTAATTTTTTTATTAACTAATTTAATTTTAATTGTTTTATACTTTTTTATTGCTAATTAGTAAAAAAATATATTTTTAATTATTATAAGATGTGTTGACACACCAGTACCAAATAAATAATCAATCTTAGTAAGCATGTTTAGATTTTGGGAACGATAACTTTTTATTTTCTATAATTTCTTTTATTCAGTTAAGAGGTATAATTTATAGATTACGATGTTAGCTGTTAAGTAATTTATGTGGAATGGTTAAAACTGCATTTTTAGTAAAAATGATATTGAAATATACGATTGCAATTATTATAATTTGTGGTTTATTTCGTACTTTTTTCAACTTTCGTCATCAGTCATTTATTTATTTTTAGGATCATCAACATAAGATACAGCAAAGCATTTCAATACAATACACTGGTAGAATAGATCTAACTGTTCTCATACTTAGAGGCAACCACAGCATGCTTTGTGTTTGATAAACATTAAAATGGAATTAAATTATTAAAAGTCATTAAATGAATAAAGATATTAACAATATAAGTAAATGATGGAAATTGTGATTAAATTCTTTTAAATTATTAATAAATATAATGTAATGGCAAGGTATATTAACTTTTTAATTTAGCCATGAACACAGAGTGACTATCAGAGTGCCCCGTTAGCGTATACCAATAACACAGGCGAGATTACCATTACATTATCACTCGTTAAAAAAAAAAAAAAAAAAAAAAAAAACTAGTAGAAAATAACTAAGAAAAACAACTATTTATTATTAATTGTATTGGTAATTAAACATCGAATTCAGTTCTTATTAACGTTTTAAAGAAGGCTTTGGCGTGTGTGTCAAATAAAAAGGAAAATATGTCATATGATGAACGAGTATTGAGAATGAAAACGCAGTTCCACGTTTCAGTAATCATTTTAATCTGCCGGTGACGTGTCCAATCGGAAACTCATTTAACATTTTAATCAATCATACGTGTGCCAGTTGCATTTTGGCGCGAAATGTCGATAAAATTTAGTTGCAATTGCATGTGCCCTATGTGTGTATCTAGTCAAACTGTATATGATTACTTTTCTCCATCCAAAGGTTGCCTGGAAGAGATCGCTCTTAATGATAATGTGGCCATTGTTTTCTTAGTCTAATCATCATCATCATATCAGACTTTAACTGTCTACAGTTAAACATAGGCCTTCCCATATGGGGGGGGGGTAAGTACCTACCTTATATTATATAGATAGAGTGTCTCCATAGAAATGATTCGAGAAAAGCGAGTCAACATTTCTTATAATTTTTGCACTTTTTTAATGCGTAAAAACTCATTTTATTTGTAATGTAATGTAATGTAAATTGGACTCTATTTTCCGCGCTTAGCCTCTCATTTGGGTCGTTGTGCGTTGAGTCGTGGCTAGCACAGCTAACCCAGCTCCGCTCAGAAGCGCAGAAGCTTCCTGGGATCTTCACAGGCCTTACGGAGCGACCTCACCGTTCCGAGAATTTCTAAACGTTGATGTGCCACAGCTTCACATTCCCAGGATTTCGTGAGCAGCCAACTTATTTTATTTATTAAATAATTAAATATAGATATGCCAAGATACATTATGTACGTAAGTATATATAGAACATTAATAAAAAATCGAGTCAGCTAATGACAATTATCTGACAAAAAGTTAACCCGTTTTCGGGACTCTGTTTGTATAACAAGTTGTTACTCGTGTATAACCCTACGACTACTGAATTAAGTGCATAGTTTTAACATAGGTAAAATTATTTATTTAATATTGCAATAGCAAGCAATAAGGCTTTTAGTTAAAATGATTTTGATTTGGAAACCGTACGAATAATAGGGCATTTAAGAACCTATTGAAGCTAAAATGGTTGCACAGTTGCAATAAAATAGAGCATTTTGCGTTCATAAAGTCCGATACACACGTTGTAGATACTACGTAATTATTTTTTATTTAAGGGTAAATAAAAAAATGTATATATTTAATAATATTTAATTTAATTTATTATATTTAATTTAGACGGTAAATTTCCACTAAAATAACAGATTTACTTTTAAAAACAAATTTACACCCTATGATGACCCTACGTGTAGCATATTTCTAAAGATTACTTTCAAATATTTTTTTTTATACAACTTAGAATGGCAAACAAGCTGACGGCCCACCTGATGGAAAGTGATAACCGTCGCCTATAGACATGAGCAGTACCATGGACATAACAGAGTATACTGTTTCGCCCATGATACTCCCCATGCGTTGCCATTCCTGAGGACTCAGGTATTATTCCTCTTTACCCAGTAAATTCACGCCTTATCCCACCCTTCAAACTGAAACACAGCCATGCAAACACAACTGCTTTACGGTTGAAACACAAATGGGACAGAGGTACCCAAACAATTGAAGCTATTCCACGATTCGTATCTTACGGTGTGTGTATCAACCTTTACAGGATAATACAGTATGGCTGCATGCAGAGCTATTTAGTTAAATACGTAATGAATGCAACTTGGCAGCTATTGTGTATAAATTTACTATAGTTTTATGTCTTCTGAACTTAATTTAATATAGACAAGTATGGTGTGATATTATGCTATTAGATTTAAATATTGCATTTATTTACATTCAAAATTTATTTGCAAGAATGGTGTATTTTAGTTACCTCCACAGTATTTTCTAATACAGAGTAGATATTAAGTAAAATTACAGTGAAATTATAAGGTACAGTGGAATAACACCTGAGTCCTCAGGAATAGCAACGCATGTGGGGTATCATGGGTAAAACAGTATACTCTGTTATGTCCATGGTACTGCTCATGTCTATAGGCGACAGTTACCACTTTTCATCAGGTGAGTTGCCAGCTTATTAGCCATTCTAGGTTGCAAAAACAAAAAAAGATGGGATGTATGATATTTCTTACATAATAAAATAGTATTATATATTGTCACACTTTAATTATTTTCTTTTGAACCTTATTAGAGTGCAGATAAAATTTAGATTGGTTCAGCAAATTCGACAAATTCCCAGCAATCTATCAGGCTACCATCGCTGAACGCTTCGATCCTCCACAACGCTCTCCCGTATTCCTTTGAAGGTGTCCACATATGCGCCACTTTATTGGCATCCAACTCTTTGAAGACATAAGTACCCTGATATCAAAAGATAAGCAATATATTGGTATTAATGTATATCGTAATGTCTTTATATTCACGAAAAGTAGCTGTTACTTATTTTTTTACAGAGCAATATATGGTTATTTAATTAGAATTATTTTGTTTAATTCCGCTACCATTAGTATGTGTGTGACTGCCAACACTCGATGATTGACCACCACTATTACTGCTAATAGTTCTACAACCTTTCACGTGTTTCAACCTCTAAACGCAAGTCTCAAAACATGCATAAAACACTGCTCTTATATTGATGATACTAGAAAATAAGTATGAGCATAGAGTAAGTAATTACTACATTATTTAATAATCGGCACTGCTCTCATATAGAAATGAGTATGAGCATAGAGTAAGTAATTACTACATTATTTAATAATCGGCACTGCTCTCATATAGAAATGAGTATGAGCATAGAGTAAGTAATTACTACATTATTTAATAATCGGCACTGCTCTCATATAGAAATGAGTATGAGCATAGAGTAAGTAATTACTACATTATTTAATAATCGGCACTGCTCTCATATAGAAATGAGTATGAGCATAGAGTAAGTAATTACTACATTATTTAATAATCGGCACTGTTCTCATATTGAAATGAGTATGAACATAGAGTAAGTAATTACTACATTATTTAATAATCGGCACTGCTCTCATATAGAAATGAGTATGAGCATAGAGTAAGTAATTACTACATTATTTAATAATCGGCACTGTTCTCATATAGAAATGAGTATGAGCATAGAGTAAGTAATTACTACATTATTTAATAATCGGCACTGCTCTCATATAGAAATGAGTATGAGCATAGAGTAAGTAATTACTACATTATTTAATAATCGGCACTGTTCTCATATAGAAATGAGTATGAGCATAGAGTAAGTAATTACTACATTATTTAATAATCGGCACTGCACTCATATTGACGAAACTAGGAAATGAGTATGAGCATAGAGTAAGTAATTACTACATTATTTAATAATCGGCACTGCTCTCATATTGATGAAACTAGGAAATGAGTATGAGCATAGAGTAAGTAATTACTACGTCAATTTATAATTTTTAAGTATAATGGTATTAATAAATGGTGAAGATTTCTGAATTTGTTTGTAAATAAAATATAGCCCGTATTAGTAAGCCCAAATGTGTGTGCACAAATGTTACTCGCTGTTAATGTAGTTTTCTATTTTACAGTAAAATAATTTAACGTAAATATTAAAATCAAACATATACAGACTTACAACTGGCACAGAGCATTTCTTTGAGTTGTATGGCACACCTAAAGCAGCAATTAAAATGTGAATGAAGATGCCGCCACATGCGTCGTGGCGCAGTACCAAGTTAGTTTTCCACTTGTCGTTTTCCCATCTGAAATATTTAGCTTTTGCCTGGAGAAATAATATACACATATATTTTTCTATTTATCTACATATATTTATTTAACAATAAAAAAAAGGTTAGTTTAAATATAAAACGACGCAGTTATCATTTCAGAAACTGTGTATGAAGCTGTAGAGTAGTACAGTGCCGTATATTTCCTTAGTTGCCTTTTACGATGCCCACGGTACAGAAAGGACCACAGAATGTCAGCGTGAATTTACTGGGTACAGAGGAATAATACCTGAGTCCTCAGGAATGGCAACGCATGGGGGGTATCATGGACGAAACAGTATACTCTGTTATGTCCATAGTACTGCTCGTGTTTATAGGCGACGGTTACCACTCTCCATCAGGTGGACCGTCAGCTTGTTTGTCATTCTAAGTTGCATAAAAAAAAATGTGAGTGAGAAGAGTGAGATAGTGCAGTGGAATGCACATGGAGGCAAAATACCTTAGTCACGTGGCTGACGAGTCATCTGATCGAAAGTGTTAACCTACCATACTGTAGTTGGGTCAGAGTATACTGTGCGTATACTGTGACCCAACTTTTTAAACACTTGAAGCAGATTTGTTATGTCCATGGTACAGCTCATGTCTATAGGGTTACCACTTTCCATCAGATGGGTCGTCAGCTTGTTTGCCATTCTATGCCTTAAAAAAAATTATAAGCCTTAACATTATAGACCTTAACAGTCTACTCAACCATGAGTAGACTGTTAAGGTGTCGACTTTAGGGGCGAAATATGGGGCCAATTTTTTTTTATAATTTTAGATATTTTTACTAATGTCACTTGATTTTTAATACCAATATTGATTACAAGATTGTCATCGTTGTGTTCTCATTTATTTAACATATACATATATATATATATATATATATATATATATATATATATATATATATATATATATTGTATATGTGTATTATTATTGTATATTACAAATATAAAGTTAATAACAATGTTAGCAAAGGCGAACTTATCTCTGAAAGAGATCTCTTCCAGTCAACCTAACACAGTGGTATAGGAAGTAGTGAGTGGGCAGTAGTAGTGCTAAACAGAAGTTAAAATAAATATGTATTTATTTTAACTTATGTTTTATTTCATTGCTAAAAATTTTAATTAATATGATTTTGAATTAGTGCGTCGAATTATAGATATCGTTGTATTAATAGGTATTGTTATAGGTAGTAACACAAAGACCGCTGTTGATAGGTATGTTTTTTTTTATACGACTGACAGCCCACCTGATGGAAAGTTGTAACCGTCGCCAATAGACATGAACAGTACCATGGACATAACAGTACACACACACACATACTGTTTCGCCTATGATACCCCCATACGTTGCCACTCCTGAGGACTCAGGTGTTATTCCTCTGTACCATGTAAATTCACGCCATATCCCACCCTTCAAACCGAAACGCAGCCATGCAAACACAACTGCTTCACGGTAGAAACACGAATGGGACAGAGGTACCCAAGCAATCGACTTTTAAACATAGTCTCCCTGTGGTATATAATAATTTACTAATAATAATAGTTACCTTTATATTCTTAGCTTCCTTCATTACAGTAATGTTTCCTCTTAATAAATTGATTACTTTAGTGGTATTGTACATTTCCATGTATGCAATTGCAGTGCGTTCATTTCCGTATGAAGATTTTGGCTTCACACAGCGTCGTGCGGATACCAATGTTGTCTTGTAAGAACCCTAGATTAAAAAGGAAATCAATATTTTTCCATAAATATTGGTACTTCTTATATTGTAATTATTTATGTTGGCTTTACTCACGTTTTTAAAATTCGGAGATGCCCGACTAGTTTTTTAAATTAATAGAAGCCCTTATATATAGTATATATATAGTATGTATGTATATGTATGTATGTGTATGTGTATATATATATACATATATATGTGTATGTGTCAAATATAGGCACAAATGAAAACTTCTTTCCTTTTTTTTTAATTAGTATATTTGCGAAATAATTCTTGTAAGAAACAATTTACAGTGGTACCCTGCACTTTGGTTATGTTTTGTTAAGAGAGGGACTGGCTGAAAACCAGCGCTGTGCAGCTGTTCACATTGCGCTTGGATACTCACAGCATCAGCTGAGCCGGTTCCTTTTGCCTAGTATGGGACACTTTTTGTATATGTTATTTATATTTTATATTCTATATTCTAATTGTATATTTACTGGCAATAAATGTTTCTATTCTATTCTATTCTATATATGAGTGCAGTTCCGGGCTTTGTCGCGAGCAGTAGAAAAACTAAGCATCCTTGAATTTAAAAATGTAAGTAAAGCAGACATAAGTAATTACAATAGAGTATGACGTTTTTGTTATTTGAAAATACTTATATTTAGTATATCAAGATCAAAATTTTTAGGCATTGACTATTTCAAAGAAGGGTAATTAAGCTGCAGTTACATTGGGCTCACATAGCTCGAAGAACCGACAATCGATTTGAAAGAAAGAGTCTTGAGTGGAGATTCCGTACAGGCAAACACAGTGTGGTATAATCCGTCTATTAAATGGAGTGACACCTCAAATACATTGCACAGAGTCAGTGTTAGTATCAAAATGATCGCGTTTAGTGCAGTTTCAGAGAAATTTCTTCCCGCCAACGCTCAGACTGTGGAATGAGTTCCATGCCGAGGTTTTCTCTAGAGAATACAGTATGGGATTCCAAAAGTGCGTATTAAGATTTCTTCAGAGTCTGCAATGCGCACGTGACACCCCTAGTTTTCCAGGCGTCCATAGTTTTTTTTATGCAACTTAGAACGGCAAACAAGCTGACGGCCCACCTGATGGAAAGTGGTAACCGTGGCCTGTAGACATGAGCAGTACCATGGACATAACAGAGTATACTGTTTCGCCCATGATACCCCCATGCGTTGCCATTCCTAAGGACTCAGGTGTAATTTCTCTGTACCCAGTAAATTCACGCCATATCCCACCCTTCAAACCGAAACACAGCCATGCAAACACAACTGCTTTACGGTAGAAATACGAATGGGACAGAGGTAGCCAAGCAGACGACTTTGTACAAAGTCTTCTTCGGGTGAAAATTTATTTATACTCACTGATTTACGACTCGTAACAGCAGAATGTATGCATATGTTTACAGTTAGGAAAATCCAAACAGCCATAACACTGTATAAATATGTCTTCATCATGTAACCAAAAGGTACCCGTCCTTTGTCGACATATTCAGAAAATATAAAATTTGCCCGCTGATTGTTGACGGGGTTCATTAAAAATACATTAAAAACATTAATGATGTACCAACACTTTATGATAACATAAACATCAATTATTATAAAATTACTACGGGATCAAATGAGATTTTACAATACAATTGTATTGTACATAATTTGCATTGGACACATTAAAAAGACTTAATATACAATAGCGGACTTAACCAATACAGTCAACCTTTGAGAAGCTGGAAGAAAACTATAGAACGTTCAAAGGCAAAAACTGTAGAGCTAAAGATAAAATTCAATAATATCTAATAAAAATTAAATATATAATACAATAAAAAGGAACGGAACATCTACATCATCGTCATCATTGTATCGTCGTCTGTCCACTGCTATTTATGAGCGTCTCCCACAACGGAGGTTGTGCCAGTATTTGCCACGCTTGGCAGGCGGATTGACAACCGCAGTTAGGCCTTGGAGATGTTTTAAGAGGTACGCTGTTACCCATCCTTCGCCCTCTCTTAATCTCTGCTTACGAGACCTACGGGAAAGAAAGGGGGTGGCCTATTTTATGTCGGAACTACACGGTAATTTCTCCCACATACTGAGTAATAAATTTATATTATGGCAACCCTATTCACGTACACATAAATAAAAAAGTTGGCCTGTGTTTGGCGCAGTGTTTGTATGGTGACCCTATTTAAATAATTTTAACCTTTGACTTAATTTAGTAGCCAGTAGTTGCCACGTTGCAAAAACCATCAAAAGTAACTAGCAATTTATTATATTTCCCCTTATATTTCATAAAAATCGTGTTTCATTAAAACCTGTAGAAATAAGCGACAGGATCTTGGGAAATCATATTAATATACCTTATCGAGAAGATCTAAAAAGATATACGTTACCCAACCACGTTTTATCATCTAACTAGGGGATTAATTTAAACACTCTTAAATAATTTAGTTTATACTTTTACAATGGAGTAACAAAGCTATGGAATTCCCAGCATATTATGGTATATGTCTCTGAAAACACTTCAACTCTCCACAGGGTTTGGCCATATTCCTTTGTCAACAACCACGTGTGGTCCACTTGATTAAGATCTATATTGCTGAAGGTGTGGGTGCCCTGAAAATTGATATACAGTGATATATAATACAGTTATAATTAAGATTGTGTCCCACAAAAGGAAAAGCCCCCGGGCACTTTCTATCATCGTACGGCTCTCCATCGACAGAGAGTTCATCTTCACCCTACAGCCTCAATAGTCACGTGCGGTTTCAGAGATGTTTCCTCCCACGAACACTCAAGTTATGGAATGAGCTCCCTGCCGAGGCTTCCCAAGAGTCTATAGCATGGGGTTCTTCAAAAAAGGGGTAAAGAGGTTTCTTCAGGGTCGGTAACGCACGCGAAATACCTCTGGTATTGCAGGTGTTCATAGGCTACGGTAACCGCTTACCATCAGGTGGGGCCTGTTTGCCACCTCAGTGGTATAAAAAAAAGGAAAGCAACTTCAATTGTAGTAAAATCATTTGATTTAAAAACTAAACAACTGAATTAATTGTAATAAAATTTTTACACGACCAATATGTAAGTATATCTTTTCAGATAATTGACAGAACTCTGTCGAGGGGGAAGGGATTGTTAGTAATGCGTACGACCAGTCTCATTAGTAGCAATATACCTTGTCAGGTCGGGGGGAAAGGGATTGTTAGCAATGGAGTTTGACAGCCCCATTGCTAGCAATATGCCTTATTAGGTCGACTTCCACGTAGTCCCCTCTGGAAACCATTGTAAACAATTCTTGTTGAATTCGTCACGATGGGCTAATTGACCTACTTTATCCTTACCTATCCTTCTTCACTGGTGCCCCGCCGGTGTATACCGATAGCGCGGGTGGGGTTACCATTCCATTATCATCCGTTAAAAAAAACCCTGACAGGTCGACCTCCAGGACCTGGACTACAGCTGCTCTCTCTGGAAACTATCTTGCTTTTTCATTCTCAACTATTATCTCTCACTGGTGCTCCGCCAGCATATGCGTTGCTATTGCTGAGGACTTAGGTGTTATTCCTCTGTACCCAGTAAATTCACGCCATATCCCATCCTTCAAACTGAAACACAGCTATGCAAACACAACTGCTTCACGGTTGAAACACGAATGGGATAGAAGTACCCAAGCAATCGACTTTTGTACAAAGTCTCCCTCCATTATCATCTCTCTCTTTCCATTATCATCGATTAAAAAGAATCGAGTTATGAGGTAACAAACATAAAAGAAAATACAACCGAATTGAGACATTCATACTTTTTGAAGTCTATTGAAAATAAACCAACCTTGGGCACGGAGCATTTCTTGCTGTTATATTCGATGCCAAGTGTGCTCCAAACAAGTGACATCATGAGACCTTTGCAATCGACGCTGTTGTACAGATAGTGGATTTTCCATTTACCATCCTTCAGAAGGTAACTCTTTGATTTGATCTGTAAAGGAAATAAAATAAACATAGCTACATGCTACTGCTGCCAGGTAGAAAATATTTTAATTTGAGGAGCAAAATTCTATGGCAGTGAATTGCCATTGGGGTCATCATTATCATATCAGCCGTAAACTGTCTGTTTCTGAACATAGGCCTTCTCCTCCAGAGGGAGACTTTGTACAAAAGTCGTTTGCTTGGGTACCTCTGTCCCTTTTGTATTTCTATCGTGAAGCAGTTGTGTTTGCATGGCTGTGTTTCGGTTTGAAGGGTAGGATTTGGCGTGAATTTACAGGATACAGTGGAATAACACCTGAGTCCTCAGGAATGGCAACGCATGGGGGGTATCATGGGCGAAACAGTATACTCTGTTATGTCCATGGTACTGCTCATGTCTATAGGCGACGGTTACCACTTTCCATCAGGTGGGCCGTCAGCTTGTTTGCCATTCTAAGTTGCATAAAATGAAAAATCGGTAAAACTTCTATGAAAACAATCTGTAACATATTACCCTTTCAAATAAAAAAGAATATTACAAATAGGTTTAAAACTGACGGAGCTATAACGTAGCAAACATAAAAAAAATACCCACTTCTTTTTTTAAATCAGTCGAAAATGGCGATTTGCTGCTAACCTTGATTATACATAATAAATGTATTGACAAATAGAACGTAACATGTTAGGTAAAAATACATAGATTATATATAAATATTTAATGGCTGCGCTTAATGATCTTAATTACAGTTTAATGTATCTGTGGAAATGTGAAACAATGATTATGATGAAGGAGGAGAATTAGTCATCATTATTTATCCTCATTACAATCCATCATCGTCCCACTGGTGGGCTATTGTACGAGTATATAGCAAAATATGCACCAACCGAGGAACTTATTATATTATTTATTAACATAACAATTTAATTTGATAAATTAGCGAAATTACTGCTTTGTGTACCAACATAAAATAAAATTGATATATTCAACTTGTGTCTGAATGCCTTTAAAATCATTTTACAAACGGCGTCAAGTCTCTTTGACATGTCTATACTTTTATATATTTTTGTTATTTGTATTTACTTGTTCATATCCTGTCTATATATAATTTAACATTGTTTGCCAACTGCTTTAACCATGCTGTGTGTACACCTGTCTGGGTCTCAATCTACTCATAGTTCATACTACTCATAGTTCATACTATTCATTTTTTACTTAATAAAAAAAAATACAGCAATTTTGACATAAATCTAGCAAGTATCATGTATTTACCTTTCGTTCTTACCTAATCATCATATTTGCCTTCAACTGTCAACATAAGCCTCCCCCTTGGGGGTTTTTGCTAGTAGCTGCCACGCTTGGCAGGCACTTTGGCAACAACAGTTAGGCTTTGGAGATGTTTTAAGAGAGACGCTGACGCCCATCCATCGGCCTCCCTCAGTCGATTCTTACGACATCCACGGGAGAGGAAGGGGTGGCCTATTCTATGCCGGGACTACGCGGCTAATATTTCGTCTATTACATAAATCCATTTTCTTACTGCATACCCTCAGTGAGTGTTAGTTTGTACTTTGGATCAATACAGTGTTGGTGAGGACCTAGGAGTCATCTAAGGACCCTGCACCATACTAGCAAGAAAGCTGTTGCACCCTAACCATCCCTTTCTCCCAAGAGATTGCACTAACATATAGATCGGTAGATTCGCCTTTTTTTCTTACGTGCCTGTTATTTTTACAGTAATATTATTGATTTAGATAAGAAGCAGTGGACAATAAACGCCTGAAATGATTATGAAAGAAGGTTCTTCTACCGCCTGGATATGTTCTAAAGAACTGTTCAACATGATACCTACCTTTCATCATCGTACCCCTCGCCATTGATAGGGAATCCATCCATACGTACAGACGTCCATAGGCTACGGTAACCCCGTTTATCATCATGCTTGCTTATGCTTGTTTATCACCATACATAGATACATATCTGTCTCCCATTAGCGTAGGCAGAAACAATGGAACGCCAAATACTTCGATTCAAACAAACCTCTTTCGCTTCTTCTACATTCATCAATCTTTTCAGTCGTATTTCTACCGTGAAGCAGTTGTGTTTGCATGGCTGTGTTTCGGTTTGAAGGGTGGGATATGGCGTGAATTTACAGGGCACAGAGGAATTAACACCTGAGTCCTCAGGAATGGCAACGCATGGGGGGTATCATGGGCGAAACAGTACACTCTGTTATGTCTATGGTACTGCTCATGTCTATAGGCGACGGTTACCACTTTCCATCAGGTGGGCCGTCAGCTTGTTTGCCATTCTAAGTTGTATAAAAAAAAAGCACTTCGCCTATTTATTACCATAGTAGTATAAAAAAAAGTCAACTTACTTTCAAATTGGTATTTTCCTTGGCAATAGTGACGTTCCCCCTCAATAGATTGGTACTAGTTGTAGTGTTGTATATTTCGGTATTGAACAGGATTGTAGGTTCCTTCTCGTAAGGTTTTGATGGTTTTTCGCATTTGT